CTCGCAGGTGCTGCACTCGGACCTGTGACCCCTAAGATGTGTGCTTTTCCCGGTTAGGCGTGGCAGGTCAGAGTCTGACGCTGCCCGTCCTGAAGAAGCTCTCTTTTACCAGGGCGGAGGAGGTGCCCTCATGCACTCTGCCAGGCTGCCCAGCTGGGGAGAGTCCCACCCTGCAGCTCTGGGCCTGGGTCCTGCCATGACCCTCGACAAGGTCCTAGCAGCCAGAACAGAACACTCTGAGGACAGTGGAGCCTGGACAGGGCCCCTCTTTTGTAGCACATGTGTTTGCAAAATGTCAACCTCAGATTCTTTTCAGGGTTTTTTGATGCCATTGAAGACATTTTCAATCTGCTTTTTCACCTACTGTTGTATGAGTGCAAATCAGCTTTCCCTTGAGTCTCAGGCTGGGGCTGGTGGAGGCAGGGCCCTGAAACCAGCAGGAAGGCTTTGGTGTTACGGGGGTGGACGTGGAGGCTGGGAGCAGCATTTTGAAAATGCTTAGGACTCAGTTTAGTTAGTAGTGGGTCTAGAATCAGAGTTCTGACATACTTCTGACGGGTCTGGGACTGGTGCCCCTCCCACCTGTCGGCTCCCCGTGGAGCTGTCCGCACTGCCAGTGGCCTTTGCCTTTCCTTTAGGCCTGGGGTTGAGTCAGTCTCCATCTCAGGGGTTGCTCACTCAGAGCAAAAACAATCCATGTTTAAAGGATTGAGAGCATAGGCTCTGTAACTTCGTTCTACCAAATATTCACGCTCACGGTTGAGCGTCGTGTGCCGGGCACTGCCTTGCACACATGATTTCATTTCATCCCTTTTTCCACTTTATTTCATTTTTCATCCTCTGACTGTATTTAGTGCTCCCGTTTCATGGAGGGAACTCAAGAGTGATTGCGAGTGTTCAGGGAGAGAGGGAGGGAAAACAGGAGAGAGCAGGGTCAGTGGAGAGAAGGACCCAGGTAAATTCCAGGACCATGTGCCATCACATCCAGGAATTCTGTGCTGCAGTAAGCTTGGAAGAGAGCAACAACCCTTTCTCCCTTCGGAAACTCTGAGTCCCGCGTGGTGGAGCCTCCACATCCACCTGCCTCTTTGCAGGTTTTGCTTTGCCTGAGTTTGGTCCTCTTGTGCTTCTCCAGGGGAGAAGTGGTTTTCTGGCCTGTGGACTAAGCTGTGGCCAAAACACGCCCCTGGGCAACGGGTCTCATGAAGCTGGGGCCGGGCTCCGCACATAGCTTTGTACTTAGATGCGCTTCACTGGAGAACATGACATAGAATTCATGTGGTTTGGGGAGTGAAATCAGAATCAGCCGGCAGAAGTAAGCATGTGTGTCGTGCCCTGGCCCCTCCTGTCTTCCTTTCCTCCAGAGCCATGCTGCCCGGTGTTCGTTCTAGAGTCTGGTGTCTGTCCACATTGGTCCTCTCTGGAGGGTGTCCTCTTTGGGCATTTTATTAACATCTGTATCTCCTCTCCTGACACACTTTATCAGAAGTCTACCACTGTCTCTTGTGTCTCCCTGTTCTCACCGGTTGGATTTTTGATGCAGTCACTGCTGGAATCCTGTCATTCCTGGGATTCCATGATAGCCAGTAGCTGTGCTTGGTTCTTTGATTGGATTTATTTCAGAGACAAGAAATTAAATGTATTTATTTAGGAATTTCTTTTTTTTTTAAGTAGGTTCCATGCCCAGCACTGAACCCAAAGCAGGGCTGGAACTCATGACCCTGAGATCAAGACACAAGCTGGGGTCAGGAGTCAGATGCTTAACCGACTGAGCGACCCAGGCACCCCAAAATTAAATTTATTTGAAATTGTGTAAGGCCTGCCTGAAACCTGGCTAGAGGTGGTATGGCTCAGCCTTGTCCTCTGGCTCATTGACGGGAAGAACCAGGTTGTAGGACTGTAGCTGGTCCTGCACCTCCTGTTAGCTTCTGAAAGCACCATTCCTCGTGCATTAGAAATTAACCAAAATCTCTTTCAGGTGGTTAAAAATGTGAACACATATAAATTAACTTTTTAAATGAGGCTTTGAGTTCTCACACATGTCTTCCTCAGGCTCTAGCTCTTCTTCTGTGCTGAGTCATGGGCTGAGCTCCTGGGTCCTCGGTGGCCCTTGTCGGTCAGCTAGTAGAGGTCGAGCTGGGAGCCCCGATGTGAGGACTCTGCCCTGTCCTCAGCGCGGCTCTAGTGTCTCTGTGTCCTGGTCCTGATCTTGGAAGTAAATGCTCAGGTATTGGCTTTAGGGCTTCTGCCGTTCTCATTTGTAACACTGACCTCTGTAAACTTCAGGGATGTAGTCACTAAGGATGTATCAGACACCAGTTGTAGCCTAGGGGGGGAGTTAGAGATTAGGACAACTTTTTGCTGGGGTTTAATCACGTTGGTAATGCAGGTATTGAAGAATGTTAAGGTGAAAGGTCACTTTGGGAATGAAGTTGGGAAGATTGGGTTTTGTTAATCAAGTGAGTAACTAATAGGGAATAAAAACCCAGTCTGGTGTCCACTCTGGAGAATGAGGACAGTTATGGGGCATTTATAGTGTCACCCTCCCCAGCATTTCACGGTTGCTTGGTGAGTGAGTGCTCAGCGTCAAGGTAGTCAGGAGCCATTGTGAGACGCTGCCAGGGCGGGGCTGGGGCCAAGGGCCCTGGAAGCCCAGGAAGCCCAGGAGCGCTGGGAGCCGTGCTGCTGGGAGGGGACGCGGCAAGAAGACGCCCGGTTCTGCTCTCCCACTGCCCCTGCGCCTGGACTTCAGTGTTGGCCAGAGTAGACACTCGGGGGATCAGGCAGGGGACAGGTGGACAAGCACACGGGTAATGCCAGAGTTAATTTTATCTGTCGAAAGAGCTTGAAGTGTGTGCATTAATAGATTGCCACATGAGGATGCACTTGTTGAAGTGTGTTTCACAGGCAAGTGGGCTAGGTCTCTGAGAGGGACTGAGGAGTATTGAAATGTTTAAAATGGAGGAGTTTCGTGGTGTTTGTTGAAATTAGTAGGCAGTATAATTTTTATAATGTAAACAGTGTTTTTTATTTCTGTGTTTCTTAACTCCTTAAAGAATATTTGTGGAGCACCCAGGTGGTCACTTAAGCATCTGCCTCCTGATCTCCACTCAGGTCTTGATCTCAGGGTTGTGAGTTCAAGCCCTGTGTTGGGCTCTGCACTGGGCATGGAGCCTACTTAAAAAAAAATTTTTTTTGGACTGGTTCAAAGAAAATGGTGTGAATCAAAGTACTTTTGGTTTAGTTTGTAGACAACAGTCATTTACACATAAATACTTTTTGTCCACGCTGGTCTTTATTTTTAGTTTTATCTTTCATAGATTTTTCAACAGTAGGTTATGAATCATATCACTACCATGTGGGTTTTTTTATATTTATTTATTTGAGAGAGAGCATGAGTGGGGAGAGGGAGAAGCAGGCTCCCCGCTGAGCAGGGACCCCCCCAATGCGGGACTCAGTCCCAGGACCCTGAGATCATGACCTGAGCTGAAGGCAGTTGCTTAACTGACTGAGCCACCCAGGCGCTCCTGTTTATTTTTAATTTGGAGGGTGTGTGTGAGTGTGTGAGAGAATATTTTTAGCCAGAGTCATTCCAAAGAAATTCAGATGACAATCTGAAAAACAAAACTTTTATTTATTTATTTATTTATTTATTTATTTTTAAGTAGGCTCCACACCCAGCGTGGAACCCAACATAGTGCTTGAACTTCCGTGAGGTCAAGACTTGAGCCAATATCAAGAGTTGGATACTTAGGGGCACCTGGATGGCTTAGTCGTTAAGCGTCTGCCTTCGGCTCAAGTCATGGTCCCAGGGTCCTGGGATCGAGCCCCGCATTGGGCTCCCTGCTCCGCGGGGAGTCTGCTTCTCCCTCTCCCACTCCCCCTGCTTGTGTTCCCTCTCTTGCTGTGTCTCTCTCTGTCAAATAAATAAAATCTTTAAAAAAAAAAAAAAAAGAGAGTTGGATACTTAACTGAGCCACCCAGGCACCCCAGACCTTTTCTTTTTTTAAAGATTTACTTATTTATTTTTAGAGAGCATGCTCGTGCAAGTGTGCGGGGGAAGGGGTGGGTGGGGGAGAGGGAGAGAGAGAATCCCAAGCAGACCCTTTCCCTGAGCAGGGAGCCTGACATGGGGCTCAATCTCATGACCTGAACCAAAACGAAGAGTTGGATGGTTAACTGACTGTGCCACCCAGGTGCCCCTAAAATTTTTTTTATGATTTTATTTTTAAGTAATCTTCATGCTAAACATGGCTTGAACTCACAGCCCTGAGATCAAGTCGCACGCTCCACGGACTGAGCCACCCAGGCATCCCCCCAAACCTTTTTAATTAAAAAATAATGTATGTTCTTTGGGGGAAAAAATAAAAGTGTAAGCTGTGCCTTCTGCTCGTGCATCGTTCAGTCTACAGTTTTCTGGTTTGGCAGCACATGGGCAAACGGCATCTAGAATGAGCGCTTGACCGTGGCCTAGGAACATCGTTTTGCGTGCAGTCTTCTGGTTTGGCAGCACATGGCAAATGTGGACATCTAGAATGAGCGCTTGGCCATGGACTAGGCAGCCATTCTGTTTTAGTTAATAACAATGAAAACTTAGTACAGGAGAGTGAGAACATTTTGATACCTTTAAGAATTTAAAAATACATTTTAAAAACGGTCTGAGTCACTCTCCGTTTTTTGGAAAGTGCCCCAGTTTTCATAATTATAAATGAGTAATCTAGGGTTTCCCCTTTCACTCCTGTGGGTGTATCATTGTAGGGAGCTAAACATAACAGAAGGACTTGTAACTATGAGAAAATTTTGTCTCCTTTGCTTAACAAATAAAAAACAAAAACCGACTACTAGCTTTGTTTCACTCAAATTGTGATAGTGACGTTTGGGTCCCCAAGTATGTGCCCTGCGTTGGCTGCAACAGACAGGACTTGTCTGTGTGTTTCTACCCTGTTAACACCCTGCATTGCTTTTTCCCCACTTCTGCAGTATGACTTGAGGCCGTGACCATGGATTTTTCTCGGCTTCACATGTACACCCCTCCTCAGTGCGTGCCCGAGAACACTGGCTACACCTATGCACTCAGGTGAGCGTGCTCGCGACCCATCCCATCGTTGCCCGGTCACCTCTCCGCTCTTGAATGCCCGGGATATGGGAGCTTCTTGCCACTTGCAACCAAATGCTGTCTTTTGAAAGGGAAAATAGCTGTAGAGTTCCTATTGTACGAAAGCTTTACAAAACTGCTAAACCATGGAGACGGGGAGGTTGTTTTGACAACCAGACATTCTGGTGACTCAGGGTGAGTCATTGCCAATGTCTTGTTTTAGACCCCACCCAAGTGGCTGTGGTCTTCTGGATGAATCGTTGTGGTTATGGGTAGGGTTTTATGATTTGTATTAATGGCGGGGTATTTTGAAGTGAATAGAAATAACCTGGAAAGTGATTTGCCTGTGAGAGGAGGAGGAACCCTAAACAGAGTTTTGATGAAGCCCACGGTTTCCAGAGCGGCACTGTCAGAGGCTCAGTTCTCTGTGCTTACTCTGACATGATACTGAAGTCTGAAAGTGGCTGAGTGGCCCCTTGCCTGTCTAGTTCACCAAGTAGGAGGGATTTTTGAGACGCAACTGAAGAGTTACACACCACGGGTTAGTGCTGGAGAACACAGCACTCGGCAGGAAAGAGCACTGTGTTCTGACAAGACCTTCAAGGCACACAAGGAAAATGCTTGTGTAAGTTTTTTCAATGGCTTATATTCTGAAGAATAAAAATAGAAACTAATAAAACTGGAAGGTATTTTAACAAAGGTACTCTTTAACCACGTTAGTCAAACCTCACATTAGATGATTTTTTAATTTACAATTTTAGATTTTGTCACCCTTTGACTATTTTTGTCAAAAGTCCTGAAATACTTTAGAACAAAGGGAGTGGGCCAACTCAAGTAAAACTGTTCCTTATTCTGTATTGTAGAACATAAAAATAATTACTCCTGGCAACTTATTTTTAGCTTTTAGAACCTATTTTAAAACACAGTTTTTTAGAAATGCACATGTGTAGGTCTCTGCACTGGGGAAGCAGCACTGTGAGTTTGGGGAAGCAGCACTGTGAGTTTCAGCATGCCACACTCCACAGCCTTCCTTCAGGTGGACGTGTGGGTGGATGTGGGAGCAGATGAGAAGTGACGTAGGAAAGGTGGCGGGGTGGTTCGTGTGCCGTGCTGGGAGCTTGGACTTTATCTGAGGGCGGTGGGACCCAGAGAGGGGTTTTAAGCTGGGAGTGGCCTGACCAGGCTTGTGCTCAGAAGGATGCTGAGGCCGGCAGCGTGGGTAGCGGGTGGGGGCTGCTCAGAGACCAGGGCCCATGGTGGCCGGCACCAGGTCCTTCTCCTCAGTGCTGATGACTCTGCACCCCTAGCCGACAACTTGTCCAGCACGTCTTCATTGTGGTCTTCTTTGTCAGCACGTCAGTGAGCGCACAGAGGATCCGCCAACATCCTGGTCATTCCACTTAATTAAACTACTTCTCTACGGTGGTGACTGCCTTAGCGTGAAAGTCTGGGGGGGCGGTAATAAGCCCCCTAACTCTCTCTAGCTTCCACCCCTCTGACGCTAGGCCCCTCCCTCCCTCTCCAGTGGATTGTTGTGAAGCAAATCTCTAAAAGGTGATACTTTAAAAAACAACTAGCCAAAATACTAGTATCACACCAAAAGCTCCAAGTAATTTAAAATAACCCCCGATATCTCTGTAATATACTGGAGAATCACTGCTCAGTTTCCTGGATCCTCATTTTTGTTTTAAATCACCCTAAACAAGATTTTCCCATTCTTCTGAGTATTTACCTCTGAAGTTCTCATCTGTGTTTCCTGTGGTGGTTAGATGCAGAGGTTTGATCAGGGCTGGGTTCGTGTGTTTGTTGGCGGGACTCCACACTTCCTTCCTGTCGGGGATGCCTGGCGCCTGGGTTGGTGTGGAGGCTGTCCAGTGCTGGGGGCTGGGCCGGACCGTCCCTGAGGAGCCCCCCAGCTCCACGCACGTTGGGGGTGCAGCCACTGGGACATTGCCTTGGGCAGGAGGCCGATGTTCCCAGAAGCCCTTCAGAGACCCCGGCCCCCCCAAAGACAAGGAGACCCCAGCTCAGGTGGCAGCCCACACTCTGGAGGCAGGTGTCTGACTGTGCCAGCCTCTGGTAAGTGCACCACGATCTCCACCGCGGAAGCCGAGAGCAGTGTCGAGGAGGGTCCCGTGCTGCTGGAAGGCCACACCAGCAACAGGACTGGGGCATCGCCGGTGAATCAGCCTGAATGCAGCAATGGGGGCAGGAGTTGGAATGAAATGCGTTGAGGAGTGAGTGTAGACAACTTTTTCAACCAGTGTGCCTGGTCAGGGGAGGAGAAAGGACCCGGTTCTGTTTACATTTTGTTTTCCCCCCCTGCCCCATGGGGACAGATGAGAGTGTGTCTAGATGCTGATGGTTGGGAGCCAGAGAGAGGTTAAAGGGGAGGGAAGAGGCACTAGACAGAGAAAGACCCAGCCCGGAGCGCACAGGTGGCATTCGGATGGCCCATCTGCTGTAGCGGGAAGGAAGGGGAAAGGGCTGCGTGAATGTGCGTCACCCCATAGGCTCCGCCTGAGAGGGGGCAGCAGGTCTCCGATGAGGCTGATTGCCTACGGAGAAGGAGGGGCAGGGCCTTCTGCACTGGAGAGCCAGAGGTGGGGGTGAGGCGGGACCTGGTGGCCTTGGGGACCTCGCTGCTGTGGTTCCCAGGGGTCTGCAGCCGTCTGGTACAGGGGCACAGCTGGGTTCATCCTGGGGTCCTTGCTGCTGGGACCCAGAGGCCAACGAGTGTGGGGGAAGGGCTGTGACGAGAACCCTTATCCGGAGCCCAAGTGAGGCTGAAGGACACCTTCAGTGAAAGATCCCAAATGGTGGGTGATGGAGGGTCGGGTCAGGGGCGGCTGCGGAGGTCACATAGAGAAGAACTCGGAACCATGGGGGTTTGGGCAGGTTCCTATGTGGGACTTGCTCTGCCCAGTCCCCCTGCCCAGTGGCCAAGCTGCTGTCTTATGACACTGTAGCTCTGCGCAGCCCTGGTGGGAATCAGCACCACGAGCCCCCGTGCCACTGCCCTGCTTCACAGCTTGTGGCTGCTGAGCGTCCATATCCTCTGGCTTTCAACTGTGGTAGATTTTTCTCTAGTCTTTTAACTAAAAGTGCATCTAAATAACATACGTTTCTTTTTTTTTTTTAAACGTTTATTTATTTGAGAGAGCGAGAATGAGAGAGAGAGTACATGAGAGGGGGAAGGGTTAGAGGGAGAAGCAGGCTCCCCGCTGAGCAGGGAGCCCGATGTGGGACTCGATCCCAGGACTCCAGGATCATGACCTGAGCCGAAGGCAGTCGCTTAACCAACTGAGCCACCCAGGCGCCCCTAAATAACATACATTTCTAAAAGAACAACATTTAATTGATGAAGGAACCAAACTAAAATCTGCTCTGAAGGATTCAGTCTATCATTGTCTTTGGGGTCTTTGTACTCTTCTTTTATTCTAGTTATAATAAAGTCCTGTAACACCACAGTAGCTGAGGTGCTGGCTGGGCTGGGTGCCCAGTAGCTCACGTCTCCTACAGATATTTGCACCTTTCTGCTGAGCTCTGGGCACATCTGTCTGTAGGAACCTTGTAGGAATGATGGTTGGGATCCCAGCCTAGGGCAGAGGGTGCCATTGGCTTGTGTGGCCCCTGGACTGCAGCCCTGGTGGAGGCGTTAGTCCCGAAGGTACCACATAAACGCTGAGCCCCAGACCGAGTGGCCTGCGTTAGCCCTGTCCCCGGGGAAGGATGGCCAGACAGGTGGTCCAGACTGAGAACCTGCAATGGCTGGTCCCTCCTCCCTTCCTCTGAGCCCTCCCTGCTTTGGAGTTCAGTGTGTCCAGCTCAGACTGAAAGGGCCTAAGGCCCCATCTGCTTTCAGCTCCAAAGGTAACCACTGTTACCAATTTGAAGAGACCCTTCCAGGTCTCTTCTGTGCCTTTCCCTACCTTTGTATGTATATGAACGTGTGCTTCTGTTTCTTGTTTTTTAAGGGATAGACCTTTTTTTTTTAAAGATTTTTATTAGAGCACGAGCCTGAGTGGGGGGAGGGGCAGAGGGAGAAGCAGGCTCCCCGCTGAGCAGGAAGTCCAATGTGGGACTTGACCCCTGCACATCCTAAAGCAGGACCCTGAGACCACGACCCAAGCTGAAGGCAGATGCCCAACCGACTGAGCCACAAGGTGTCCCTCTGTTTTTTGTTTTTTTGTTTTAAGTAGGCTCTAGGCCCAATGTAGGACTTGAACTCATGACCCGGGGTTCAAGCATCGCACATTCCACCGAGCCAGCTGGACGCCCCGTGTGCTTCTGTTTTATAGTTTGTCGTAACATAAATGGGATGATACTAGAATCTTTCTATTTAGCAGTATATACAGATCTCTCATGATCATGTTAAAGAATTCAGACAGACATAGCCTGGTTTAATTAACCATTCCTCTGCTGGTGGATAGTTTCTAGTTGTCTGCTGTTGTAACATTCTTGTATTTGCTTCTTCCAGGGCCTTTCTAATCAGACTGACGGGTTTGGAACACCCTTCTGATGGCCAAGGCATTCCAGGTTCTGGGTTGGAGTGCTGGGGCCCCTTCTAGATTGTGCAGGGGTAGTAGTGTTCCAGCCTGGAGCCCCCAGGGCCTGTGGGGCTGGGCTGCACACTGTCGGCTTGCTTGCCTTCTGCTTATTTCTGTAGTGGTCTGGAGTGACCACCACCTGGTTTGGGGCTTGGACCAAAGACTTTGTCTTTGGATGTTTGGCTGTCCTTAGATGAAGAGGAAGAGTGTGCTGGTGGAGGGGACTGGTCCATAGTTACACAACAAATTCTGACTTGAAAGAACAGAATTTTCTTAAACTAAGATTGTACTTGTATAAAATATTTTTGGAAGGAAAGTATAACCATACTTTAGATTATACCCAAATTCTGCTTAGTGTACTTGCGGTGTGCTCAGCTTGGGTGAGCGTGGTATGTCTCTGCCCTGCGCCAGCCTCCGGTGCAAGCGAGGAAGGGGCTCTTCCTGAAGTTGTGTGAGACACAACTGGATGGCTGGGAGCAGCTAGTGTTTACTTACTGTCGGTTCGCTTGAAGAGTTTTTAGTGTCAGATCTAATAACATTTAGGGTGAACTGATTCTGAAAATACTTTTATAATCTAAAACATAAAACAAACTTATCCTTAGCCCGCTTCCTTTCCTTGAGAGCCTCATGGCTCCTGTTGATTTCTAGGTGCTCAGCCCAGTCTGCTCTCCAGAGGGGGCTGTTGTCCTACTGCTCCCTGGACACCTCCGTGTGGGTAAGGGGGCCCGCAGAACACAGGCCCCCTCCAGCAGGGCGGGCAGCCCCTCCTCAGCCTTCCAAGTTTGCCTTCTTGCCCGCTTTGCTGCTGTCTTTGGCCAGGCCCCTCTGCCCACAGCACCTTCCCTGCCGAGCGTGGCTCGTCTCTAGCTGTGGGTGTGGAGTCCTCACTGGTGGTGACCACACAGTCGTCACCTGGATGGTCTGGGCAGATCCGGAAGTGCGATCCCCTTCCCAGTGGAGGCACACAATAGGTGCTCAGTTAACGTGTCTTGATCTGGAAGAATTTGCTGACAGCACAAAAGAATACATCTTTTAGTTTGAGATGATTACGTGGAAGGGTATTGAAGTGACTTTGTGACAAGCTTGTGTCTGGCTTTATGGTGAGTTAGATGCAAAGTAGTGTTACGTACTGCCCAGTGTCTGGCTGCTTTTCTCCTTAAGGGATTAGCAGTCACATGGTCACTGTTTCCTTAACTGCTCTGTCAGGCATAGAGCCTACTAGTAAATGCATTCTGATTTTTTAGTGATGTTGACCTAGTTCCCCATAGGTGGAGGTTCTTGTGAGCACATCCTAAAGCAGGTTAGGGTCAGCTCTAGACTGAAATATTTGGGTGCCTGGGGACTTTATCTCATAGATGGTGTGGCCAGAGCACGTCTGTGGTGAGCATCAGTTGTCCACCAATTTGGGTGACTTCTGCTTTGTGGAAAAGTCATCACACAGTAATGGCTGTCTTTAAAATTTGCACTAGATCAGTACATGTTCTGTTCATTATTTGCTCAGTATGTTTCAGAAACTCTGCGTTATTTATCTCTGACAAGTTTTTTTCCTTCTAGTTCGAGTTATTCTTCTGATGCTCTGGCTTTTGAGACTGAGCACAGATTGGACCCCGTGTTCGATTCTCCAAGAATGTCCCGCCGTAGTTTGCGGCTGGTCACCACCACGTGTGCCGTGGAGGATGGCCAGGCTGGGGACGCTCACTCCTGCACCAGTAGCACCGTGTCCCTGAAGGACAGAGCGGCCAGGTAAGCACTGCATCCTGTGTTCCCAAACATGCTCTAACACCATGAAAACCGAATGTACAAGCTTTCTAGTCTGCAAAACCACACTCTTGCATCTAAGGATATGTATGTACACCACGGAAATTCACACCTAAAGTCGTAGATGTGCTGCAAATAAGGACTGAACCTAATTCTGGACCATGTGGCTTGTCTGGTGTCGACCTTCTTGTGCAGGCGAAGATTTCTGGTTCTCTGGCCTTGTGCTCAGACCCTGGGGAGGAGCATGGGCACCCTGGAGCTGGCCTCCAGCATTGTCTGTGGGGGGTAGCCTTACCAGACGATCATGTGGCACCATGGATGAGCTCTGTTTGCATTGTTAACACTTGGTCTCTTTATTAAAATCTGTGTGAACTAACAGATGCATCCATGAGTTTAGCTGTTCACCTCCATTCGTGATTGCGTTCGCTTGATTTCTGAGCTCTCCGTGTGCCCATCACATGTGCATACCCAAGAAGGAACAGTTGCAAAATCTTTGTGCCATTTTGAGATAGTGTCCTATTGCTCACATAAGAAAGACGAATATCCAGCCTGAAGGGTCATCTTTCACTCAGGATTGGGGTGGTTCCTATGAAGAGAGGTGGTAGAATGCCAACTTGGAGCCAGGCTGGGCATTGGCGGCCAAGGCCCCACATGCCTCACACTCAGTGTGGGTTATTTAGAGAATAGGAGAATGGGATTGCAGCTCAGTAGGCTCAGGAAATGCACTTGAGGGCCCCAGTCGACTCCATGTGTGCGTGGCGCTGCGGCCAGGCTGGTCTTCTGCCACTGGGCAAGGCCACAGCCCGTGTCTGGGTGTGGTTTGCTCACACGCAGCGGTGCTTCGCTGTGTCCTGGCTCCTTCCCTTGTGGAGGGAGGATCTTGTCCCTGCCCCAGCCCGGTGCTGACATTCATAAAGTTTGTTTTTACGGGCTTTGTTGTTATCTGTGCTAAATATGGGTACAAGAAATGAGATTGCAGCCTTTCCTTGCTGTCCTTAATGCCATTCCATCTTTACCAGGGACTGAGAAATCAAGCGGTGTGTGCGTGCACACACTTATTCTGAAAGGGGGGGGATTAAATTTATAAATCATAATTTTTTAAGTCATTTTTATTAGATTATTTTAAGTTTTAACCACTTTTGGGTCATGGGGCCCAAAATAATCGGAAAACTGTCTTGTGTGTACAATTTTAGAAGCAGCTCTGGGACCCCAGCTTCAGGATTCCTGTGTCAGGTTAATGGGTGTTTTATTACCGCAGAGAAGACATAAGAAAATGGCCTTAAAAATACTGTATTTGTTTTCAAAGATTTTGTGTTGGTAAAATAGAATCCTTTTGTATTTACTGTAAGAAAAAAGTCTATAAACTTGTTCCTTTTATTCTTTTTTCTTAGAACAGTAAAGCAGCGCAGGAGTGCAAGCAAGCCAGCTCTTAGTATAAACCACACCTCGAGGAAGGTCGTGTCCTGCGCCGTGGGCCAGAGCGTTGCTAGCACGCTCTCAGGTGCGGCCTGCCTCCGGCCTCCGGTGCTGGATGAGTCTCTGATCCGCGAACAGACCAAAGTGGACCACTTCTGGGGTGAGTCGTCTGCCCCTTACAGGGTGGGAGAAGCTGTGGGAAGGTCCGAGGTTTCCTATAGACTCAAGTTCAGAATGCAGGCAGTGGCTTCCAAACACCTGCTGCTTCTGCTGGCTGTGCTCACGCGTAATCACTTGTGACATGGAACCAGCTGAAGTGGTCAGGTTGTAATCTGATAACTCTTTTTCTAGACGTGTTACTTCTGTAGGATGGGGAAGCACAGTTGTTAGAAAAATCCACTGATCTAATTTCAGGTTCCAGACCGCTCTCAGCAACAAGGCAGATGCAGTATTTTTGAGTCCTTAGAAAGCACCCTGTGTGGACGAATTGACACTAGGAAGCAGTGTGGCTCGTGAACCTTCTTATCTAAGGCAGCAACAGTGTGACCCTGTCCTTGCCCCCGGCAGGGTGATGGCCACAGGGACATGCAGCTGCTTGCTTGTGTCCGCTCCATGTTCTGTTCGGCCCCTTTGAGAAGATGAGAAGATGCAGATCAGCTCCCAAAAGTTTGTGTGTTAATTTGAGGCAGCATTGGGATTGGTGCTTGCTCCGTTTGACTCAGCTAGCAAGGGTAGTTCCCAGGCGATGCCGGAAGCAGAGGGTGCTGGTGGGGCTTCTGCCTCTCCATACCGGGGTCTTGTCTTCCTGCCTGTTCTCCAGGTGTGTGTGCGCGTGCAGGTATTTGTGCAGAGGCGCGTATGCAGGTGTGTGTGTGTGTGCATGCAAGTGTGCGCTCAAAGGTACGGGTGTGTGCCTGCAGGTGTGTGGAGGCGCTCTCTCCAGAGATGTGCTTCCGCCTTGAATCAGAAGATCATGCCTGTATATATCTGGAGGAATTTCCATTAGTTGCAGGCATCTCAGGGAATAAATCTTGACTGTTGCCAAAATGCTGATTTATTAATCATTGTAACCTTTACTTTTTGTGTGTGTGGGCTTTGTTGTGATAATTTGAGCTCATGAGCAAACACGTGTGTGTGTTTTAGGTCTTGACGACGATGGAGATCTTAAAGGTAACTATTTTAGTCCTTTTTTTCTACCCATTTTTCAAGATGGAAGTATTTTTTTTTTTTAGGTATCTATAGATTGTGATAAACTGATTCCCTCTACTTTTTTGCAAACTTTAGGTGGAAATAAAGCTGCCACTCAGGGAAACGGAGACCTGGCAGCAGAAGCCACCAGGAGCAACGGCTACACGTGCAGTGACTGCCTCCTGCTGTCCGAGCGCAAGGACACGCTCACCACGCACTCTGCACCCCTCGGGCCGTCGCCGAGGCTGTACTCGAGAGACACGAGCCAGAAACCTGAGTCTGTCTCTTTGAAAGGTTAGAAAAAGATTTCCTATCCAAACATTTTTTATAAACCTGGTTTTATAAGCCTCTTGGCATCTGCACTGTTTCCTGCCATTGACTTAAACTCAAAATCGTCTGATAAAAGTTTAAGAAATGCACCAAAAATGAACTTTGTTCCTGTTCATCCTCTTTGAATTTACATTTTTTGTGGTTCGTAGTGTCTGAAATTCTGTGAATTTGAGCTTTGGGTGAGCAGAGGCAGACCCCCCTTCAGGGAAACCTGGTGGCAGCGTGTGGCCACTTTGTTTTCACGCGAGGTCACGGACACTCCCTTGAGTGGGAGGAACAGCTTGGTAGCGGTTTATGCCCGTGAGATGAGCGTGTGGTCTCTGTGGTTACATAAGAGTCCATGAGCTCGGGGTTCCTCGGGAGTGTGCAGGGCTGGGGTGGGTGCTGGCAGCAGTCATTTACTGTGTGCCCATAGCCCGTTCACCAGCCGTGGTGGGCTTCCAAGGCCGGGCTGCATCTGCTTGAACAGAAAGGCCCTCGGAGCTGGCCCTGGACCCACTGGGCCTGCCACAGCTTTTCCAAGCAGGCCGGGGGGGCACCCTTCTGGGTTGGGTGCTTGCTGCCTCTCCTCTTTGCCTGGGTCCCCTGGGAGAGCATAGCGACAGATCCCCATCCAGGTTCCATTGCACGGCCGAGACGTCCCTGCTGACTGGGGACCCACGCCTGTCCATGATTCCCTGCCCTGTGGTCACGGAGAGGCCAGGGAGCCCTGGTTTCCGAGTCTGCGGTCCCCAGTCTGTTTTAAGCCAAGTGCCAGTCTGCGTGGCCAGGCTCGAGAGCATACTCAGGTGGGCAGGGATCCAGAAGGGCAGACCTGTCATCTGTCTGTCACTGTGTTCCTGGCTGTGCCCTGCACATGAGGGCACTCAGTATTTTTCAAATGACTATTTTGACAAAATGAAGGATGGTAATAGCAGGACTGAGAGTTCTTTCCATCTTAGTGTCTTATCCTTGTGGCTCAGGTTTCTGGGTTTGTCTACTTTGGGTTATTGACAGTGTTGGCATTAATGTATCAAAACAGGGAGGCGGGAGGGGGAGGTGGCAGAGTCGGTCCGAGGAATCGGTTCCAACACCTTTAGGATTGTGGAGGCCAGCATCGTGGAGCACTCTCTGGCTCTCCCTGGCCTGCACCCCAGCCCTGCAGTCCTGTTGCTCTCCACATCTTCTAGACCAGTACACTGAGCTTTAGCTAGCTTAAGAAGCTCGATAGTAAGTGATGGAGCTGGGACCTGGACCCAGGCATCTGGCCTCCAGGGTGCTCTCCCGAGATACTGTGCCACCTCCTGAGGGCTAACCGTCCGGGTGGAGCTTGGGAGCCAGGCCTGGCACCTGACTGAACTCCGTGCAACCATCAAACATGCCATGCGTTTGGCTTTATTGAGGCTGCGTTTTTGAAGCATGCCATCACCAAGAGGAGGGTAGTAAAAGCATGTTCCACCATCCATAACCTCCTGCGATATCTGTGCTCACAGACCAGTAAGCACGTGTAGAAACACTCCCTGCTTTCCTGCAGCCCCTCACTCGCATCATAATAGAGGTCATGTCTGTATTCCCGACAGCCAGCTGTCTTCATCCTGAGGCTGTGGATGGGGGTTGATGGCCTGAGCTCAGCCCAGATGGAAAAGTGCTGGGTGTGGTTTTGGTAGTAGCCTCTGGAAGTCTTTAGCTTGAATTGGTCTTGAATGTTTTTGAGGGGAAAACAAGCTATATTTTTATCTGCTTTGGGCCTCTGCTTATCACCTTCCTTGCTCTTTTAAATTATAATAGTGATTACGACCAACACTAATTTAAAAACATCTGTTCCTAATTATTTGGGTAAAGCATTTATCAAAGAACATTTGGAAATCCCAGACATGCACAAGGAAGAAAATTAAAATCGCCTGGGACCTACCACCCAGAGGTGACCACACTACACGCTGGGTCCAGCCCACTTGCTCCCGCGGTTGCCTGTGGAGACCATGTGAATTGTGACACGTTACCACAGTTACCGAAAATGTGTACAACTCTTCTCGAGCATGAATTATTAACACCCCACACATTTTCTGTCTTTATTTTTGTTTTTACTTACTCTGGTTGTAAAGTCTTGGAGTGGTACAGATAAAAGAAGTTCCTTCCCTTTGTCCTTCCCCATCCTCCTCTGGTCTCCCTTCCAGAGGGAACTGGTGCTAATAGTAAGAGATCGTGGCGAATTCTTCTGCTTTTAAAATGAGGTAAAATGCACATAACATAAAATTAACAATCATCTTAAAGTATACAATTCAATGGCATTTTTTCGTACATTCACAATGTGTGACTACCACCTCCATTTTGCTTTTGTGCGGCTATAGAAATACGCGGTTTGTTTAAACGCTGTCATAGTACGGATATGGCTTTGCAACTTCATTTTATATGCCAATTCAGATGGACTTTATTCTTTCTGATTCTTACCTAATATTGCATTTATGGTTATATCAAAATGTATTTAATCAGTGTCCATCTAGATGGACATTCACATGTTTTCTGTTGGTATGCTTTAATTTTATTAGAGCGAGTGAGCGACCGCACTGGCGTCCGCGTGCATGAACAGGGGGAGAGGGAGAGAGAGAGAGTCTCAAGCAGACTCTGCACTGAGCACAGAGCCTGACACAGGGCTCGATCTCACAACCTAAGCTGAAGTCAAGCGTCGGACACTGAACCAACTGAGCCACCCAGGCGCCCCTCTGTTTGTATGCTTCTAGAAACAATGTTCTTTGGGTGTGTTTCCTTGTGTATATGTATTTGTGTACACGGGCGAATCCTTCCCTAGGGTAGACAAATTAGAAGTAGAACAGATGCATTTGAGCTTACCAACCCACTTGAGCCGTGTGGTTTCTGAGTCCTAAATGTTTTGAGGTTCAGGGGAAGTGCAGCCTTGACAAAAAGTGAATTTCTGGTTCACATCAAAAAGACTTTTTAAAAGGCTTGGAAGTCTTTTCCTTGGGTCATCCAGGCTCTACAGAGCAGGGTACCAATGGGATGTCTGCACGCAGACAGACTAGGTTCCTCCCGGGAAGCATGGAAAGCTAGGCCCTCAGGGCCTTCCTGGGCCTCACAGGGAGGCACCCAGGAAATCAGAGAGGGAAAACAGAGTGTCTTCCATGTTCTCTGTCTTGCCTATGGTAGCTCTTAACTTACAACTTCTGTTGGGGGATTTATCTTAGGATAAGGTCAAAACCTTAGGATAGGTTTTTGAAAAATTGTCATTTGTCTTGGTGGCTTAGACTAGCACTTGGCTTACTGAACCAGCCTCAGGCTTTAGAGAAATCAGGACTTAGGTGCCTGCCTCCTTTGGGCATGGCAGTAGACGCTGTGAGCAGCTGCAGCTTGAGCCGCACGCTACCTGGACACAGCTGGGGGCGGGGTGGGGGGCTGCACACGCGCTCTTCCTGTGCTGGGTGGCTCCCCACGGCAGCCACTCTCCTGAAGAAACTGTAGCTAGCAATTAAATACTTAAAAAGCTGTTCCAGTCTGCAGCTCCTAAATAAATATCACTGCTGGGGGAAAAAAAAAAAGTTCTTGTGCAATTTCAATTTGAATAGATTCTTCCAATTGACTTCCCAAAAGACTGACCCAGATTGCTCTCCTGCGGTGGCAGTGTGAAGGTCCTCATTCTGTGTGCTCTTGCCATTTCTTCATTTGTTCATGCTTTCACAATTTTTCCCGTTCCATGGGTGAAAAATGGAATTTCAGTGTTTTTGATTATCAGTGGAACAGACCATGTATTACCTCTTCATAAACGTTTTCTATTTTTCCGAAGCTTCACGGGAAGTTTTCAGTGCCGTGTGAACGATGGGCAGAGGCACAGTGGGAGACGCTTGGCGCTGATGCTGGGGGTGGGGGGAGGGGAGGCTAGCCACGCTTCTACGGATGTTTTGATACAGCACTCCAAGTCACCAACAGCCTACTAATAGGCTATTTGGAAAAAAAAAAAAAAGAAAGAAAGAAAAAACTCATTTCTTTAAAATCCCTGCCCCTCAGACTTTACCGGTTCCAGCTGGCCTCACGCCGTACATTCTGAACTCACGCAGGGCTCCCCAAGCCAGGAGAGGGAGTGGACCAGTGTCAGAAGCACTCCTGGGTCTACACTCCGTGGAATAAAAATTTCTAGCAACTGTAGCTTGTAGAGGATCACCCTACACATTTCAGGTTAACAGAAGAAAAGTTGTCGGGGATCCTGTTGTATCTTGAAGCTGTACTAATGACACGTAGCAGAGGACAGTGGGCTTCCGTAACGGACCTGCTCCTTGCAGGTGCTCACGCCGGCGGTTTCTGTAGTGTCCCCATTGCAGATGCTGCAGCAGGCGTCTCTGAAGCTGCTGGGTGCGTCTGGGGGTCCTTTTCCAGGCAGGTGACAGAGGACAGTGGGTGGTTGTTGAGCGGGTATCTGGACTTGGAGTGTGTGTAAGCAGGATTGGGGTGCAGTCACCTCAGACGGGCTCTTATGTGCAGGCTCGCCTGTGACCGAGACTTGGTGTTCAGCTCTCTGGCACGGGACCGCTGTGTAGCTCTGTCTCCGTCAGGAGGTGACTTGTGTCACATGGGGCAGAGCGATGTTTGTCATTACGGCTCTTCCCAAGTTGTCATCTCTGATGGACACGTGAAAGGTTGATTCTTCTTTGCCCCAATGAGTAATTTGGCTATCTGACTTTCCAGGGGGAGTAAATGTTGACTTTGTGGGAAGAAATAACTGTGTTCACGGTTTTTCAATAGGCGGTGCCCCTGTCCACATGGATAGGATTTTGTGGCTGGCCAAGGACACTTCGTCATCCTTGTCATCATTCTTAGTCCAACTTTTTCGAATGGTTTTAATGAAGCTCAATTATGAATCAGAAAATTACAAATTGAAAAGTTATGAATCAAAAGATCGTGAATCAAAAAGCTATAAGTCAAAAAGCCATGAATCAAAAGGTATTTAAATCATTTTTTTTCCTCCTTTTTCCACCTAATAATACTTTCAAGGTGGAGAAAACACTACCTTTCCAGCGTGGCGCTTCCTCCACGTTTCTCCTCTTGTGCTCTCATTAAGCAGACTTTCTTGTGGCGCTTTTCTGGGGTCTTCCTGCGCTGATGGAAGTTTTTATGCGTTTGTACTGTTCTGTTTTCTGAAAGGGGAGCAGCGTTTCAACATTTTTAAAGTCATTTTTTAAAAACTTAAGTTTTGATCCTTACTGCCTTTTTAAAGCAGAAACAATTTATTTGAATGGCGTTTAGAACGTAGTTGTTTACAGCCATTTTTAAGCGGGCCTCTCTCTGTGTTGCGTTGGCTGTGGTGCCTTGTTCAGCCAGGTGGGGCTTTAACCTCTCTTCTCCCTAAGCCCAGCCCTACCACCTGCCCCCCGCACTGCCCCCCCTTGCCTCGCCTGCACACGTAAGCCGGTGGGGGTTGGTCTTGCATGCTCTCTCTCTGACCGTGCGGCCCCGTCGGCGTCTGGGAAGCATCTGAACTCTCTGAGCCTGTTTTGCGTGTATTGCAGCTCATTCCAGTCACTGTGGGACAGTGAATGTAGGAGGGCTTCTCAGAGAGGACGGCCACCTCAGTGTGAAAGGGGAGTCCTTGTGTAAGTATGGCGTCCCGGCACGTGGGCTCGCGGGGCAGTGGTGGCAGCTCCCCACAGGTGGCAGTACGGGGCTGCGGACACAGACCAGACGCCCCCTCGCGCGTGCAGACTTGCTGAACCTTTAACAATAGACGGCAGGAGCCACCAGATTGCATTTGCTTTGATTTTTTCTTTTTTTGCATAATTGAGTTTCCAAATTTTCTCAAACTGCCATTGTTGTGCACAGTTCCGGTTGACCAGGTTTGCATAGTAATCTGTCCAATTAACTGCTTGTCACCAGCGCCCACAGGTGATGACTCTAGGAGGAAGGGGCTCCTTGAGACGCACACAGCCGTCCGCTCGCAGTCCTCGAGGCCAGAAGGGGTAGCAGGGGCCATTGGGCACATCTTTTCTTACGCAGGTTGTTGTTTGTACCTTTTTATTTTGCTTTTATCATGTTCTTCACAAATGCTGTAGCTCCTTGTTTGTATTGGCAAGTCAAATGCTTGTTAAAAACGGACAGGAATAATACCAACTTTAGCTTGAAATACAGAGAACGTCTCTCTTGAAAAGCTTCTTTGTAAATGTATTTAGTATAAGTTACATGTCTGAAAAGTAGCTTGCCTGAGGTGAAGTCAAATTAGAAAGGCTGGTCACACTCCCGCGGGGGAGTTGATCCGAAAAGAAGCCGCTTGTCCTGTCCGTGCCCGGTCGCTGAGACACACAGCCTCAATCCGGTGACTGCTGTGTCCGGAGCCTTTGCCACACGGAGGCGTGCATGTGGAGTTAGAGGGTTTCCAATTTATACCTGTAAGTTTCTTGCTAAAGGGGCATCTTTTTTAGACAGCTTTTTTTTTTTTTAAGTTGAACTTCAAAAATAATGGTCTCTTAATTGGTAATAAAACAAAGTGATAGATTAAAGAATCCACTTAAACCATGTTTCTTCTCACATCAAGCATAGCGTCAGGAGTCTCAACACACAAATGTTTATAGGAGCATATAACTTTCAGCAGGTACTCTTAAAAAACTGAAACAAAATGGATTTCATAAGCAGTTTTCTGCCTTATATAATGTGTGATGTTTGATACAAAATTTATTGTCTTATTCTGTTATCCAGTGGTACTACCATTTGTAATCCCCAAATACTTTTTCACTGGAAAATGTTAGCTTTTAGAATGGTCTTGGCGTAATGAGCCCTCCTGGTCTCACCTGGAGCTGACTGCTGGTGTCTGCAGAGTTTTATCTGCAAGTTGTAGGGGTACCAACTGTGAACACTGCACTGGGGGGCACTGCCCGTGGCCCCCCACCCCCAGGGAAGTTCACAGGGAAGTCTGCGTTTCACGTTTTAAGTATCTGCAGGAAGAAGTGAACAACCATTCAGCGTGTAATAGAATTTCATAAGTAAATTTCAGAGTCTTGCTTAGACTTAAAATGGTTGGTTTTTTTTTCCCCTGAGAAGAGACTCTGAGCTGACTTGAGGGAATTTTGGTAAGATGCATACGAGGGGGAGTTTGTTGCTGTATTGTAAGTATGGAGAGTGGGTTTTCTGGTGTATGTTTTGAGTGTGCCCCTCCCGCACACATGTCATCTGTCGCAGGTCACCTGTTGGTGCAGACGCTGCGAAGGATCGGTGCTTCCGGATGGTCCGTGTCGAAGACACTGTTGTCGGTTCTTTGGTTGGCCGTAGTAGCTCCAGGTGGTTATTTTGGCTTTCTCTGTTAGCATTCTCTGCCAAGTCTTTGGGCAGTTAGGCACCTGCAGTTAATGATTGATCCAACCAAAGGGAAGTGTCATTTTGGGGTACATGCTTTGCTCCTTGATAGAACATGTTTCATTCTTGATTCCTTAAAGAAGTGCTAACATAGTGCTTTGGGTGCATGAGCGTTCTTTGTTTCCCTGCTGCGGAAGTCCACCTGCTCCGTTGAACTGGAATGGAGAATGCATGGATTTGGTGTTTCCTCATTTGTAGCCTGCTCTGTGTATCAGCTTCGCTTTGTGTGCTTCTCGATGTTCCTGTGTTTGAGTACATGGACACTCTTCTCAATATGCATCACCCCTAACTTCATCTTCAGATACTTACATAGTATTTGTTAGCAGATGTCCTTGTGCTTCTCGCTTGACCTTCACAAAAACAGTCCATTTAGGAGTTTGATTTTCCAAAGAACATTTCTTTAGAATGTTTGGTGTGTTCTCTTTCAGGGAAGGCAGCCTCTGGAATATACTGGTGGCTAGGGATTGGATGGTACCAGTTTGTTACTTTGATTTCTTGGCTGAATGTGTTTCTTCTTACAAGGTAAGGAAACCAATATCATGTCAACTGGGTGTTTTTAAGAACTGACTTTGTGCTCATTGCAGAATATAATTTTGATTTTTTTTTTATAATGATTTAGCTTATATTTACATTGTTTTTATAGTTTGGTATATTAATGTCTTGCCTTTTTTATATCACTTTATATTTTACAAAGTGTTTTCATATTTTTATGTAATTTTTCAAGCCATTCCTGTGAGAAAGGGAAGGCAGCTGTCATTCTTAAAATCACAGTGTGTAGGAGTGAAGTGCCTTGTCAGGGATTACACAGATCGGGAGGGGTGTGGTCAGCACTGGGAGAGAGGGTCTGGTTAACTCTGGGGCAGTTCACCCGGCCCCAGGTGACCTTAGTGGGCCAGTAGCCAAGGTCCTTTAGTGCCCAGCGTGGTGCCATGCGAATCAGTAGTGAATGTGTTTGTTACTATGGGCCAGGGGACACTATTTATAGAAAGGTCCCCCTGTACACGTATACACACCTTGTAGATAACACCGTAACTGCATTTCTGGGGCGCCTGGCCAGCTCAGTCGGAAGAGCGTGTGACTCTTGATCTCAGGGTCTTGAGTTTGAGCCCCACGTTGGGTACGGAGCCTACTTAAAAGAAAAAAGCAAGCAACTGTAACTGTGTTTCTAATACTGAGACTTTCACTTTAAAATAAGGGCATGGTTATTTTGTATAAAATTACCCAGAGAGGTAAAATAGAATGGTGACCCTGACTTTTCTTATATCCAAGTTAAAATTTTTCTTTTTATTCCTAGGTGCCTTCGAAATATCTGCAAGTTTTTAGTCTTGCTCATTCCATTATTACTTTTACTAGGTAAGTAAATGTTGACTTAGTTCCATGATGAATATCTACATGCGAAGATGTAAATGAGGGCAAGAAGTGAGCGTTTCAGTGCCTGTTTCACAGAGCATGGTACACACATGCAGTTGGCTCTTGTCCCCTTCAGGTGCAGGTCTGTCCCTGTGCGGCCAGGGAGACTTCCTCTCAGGCCTGCCTGTGCTCAGCTGGACACGCATGTACGGAGCCCAGCGGGCGGACGGCCCCAAGAGCTCGGTCACACCTGACGCGTCTCACCTGAGCCAGCCGCCGGAGGTAACCACACAGAAGCTCTCTTCTGTGGCATTCCCCATCTGTACTCCTCAGAGAACAGGCCCCCTGGTTCAGAAAATGTTGTTAAATGTCAAGTAAGCAAGCTTTATAGTTCCTTAGATGTTCTGAGATAGTTCAAGTGATGCATATGTAAGTAATCTCATTCAGTTAATTTTAATTTAAAAAACAGTAGTATGCATTACTTTGGAAAATATAGAAGGGAAGAAGAAAAGACAGGCCTCCGTAGTCTGCCCCGTAAGGAAAATCCCTGAGGACGGACATGGTCCTGTCCTGTCCTTTAGTGTCTCTGCACTCCCCATGGGGCTGTTCCGCTGTGATCCTGTGCTCCGAGGTGATTTGGTGCCAGGCCTGATGCCCCTTTGTGCTATTGGGATTGCTCTCACTGCTGTAGGCTGGCGACGAGGCTTTCCACTGGCATCGGATGAGCGAAGTGGAAAGGCAGATGACCTCACTGTCTGGACAGTGTCGCAGCCACGATGAGAAGCTTAGAGAACTAGCTGCTGTGCTTCAGAAACTGCAGGCACGGGTGGACCAGATGGACGGCGATAGTGAGGGGACGCTGTCCTTGATTCAGCGTGTGGTAGGGCAGCACTTACAGGAAATGGGTGCCGACAGACTGTCGGGCTCTCAGGTACTGTGGCTTCTCGAGGGTTTGTCTTCTCTTTAGGGATGAAGAACGGGAGAGGCGCTGCTGTGACAAGTGGTCGTGCTCTTCGGCTGTGGGGAGCAGTTGCTGAGGGCCAGGGTGGTTTCCTGGCGCTTGCTGGAGACTGGGGACTACCGCCCGGGGGACACCAGCGGAGTGGGCGCCCCGCTGGGGGCTGGGGGGCTGGGGCGTTGGGGATGGAGTTGCCGTGGTGGCTTGTCTTGGGAGCCACGGGACCAGGTGCCCTGCCTGCAAATTGTTCCTGACGCACATTTTACTGTGAAAATGGATTGAACATAATAGTTCATTGAAGTTTCACTGTCAGCTGTGATTTGATTTGCATTTTGTATCAACACTGATTTGAAATGTTCAAATCTGTGATCTAAAAAATCTCATGATAATGAAGTTCAGAGGAGCTGCTCTTCCATGTGGAACCCTGAACAAAAATGTCTTGTTTGTTAGGTGTTCTCAAGGAAAGAATTGTCAGTTTTCCCCAAAGCTGATGTTTATTTTCATAAGTTCCAAAATGAGTATTTATTAAATATTTAGGTACTTTGGAATGAAATCTTTAACGTACGTGTTGTCCCTTGCCTCAACAGCCTGCTTCTCATGTCTCTTGTCTCAGAGCCCCTCCCCGCCTCAGCTGTCCGCACCACAGTCCAGGAGGAACCCCCAACTCCCCTCCCTCGCTGGTGCAGTCTGTCTCTGGCCTGGGGACTCCCAGCCTTTCCAAGGCCCTGCACAAAGCCTGGTCCCACTGTGCTCTTGAGCAAGCCTGACTCTTGTCCCTGGAGCCTCCCCCTAGACTTGGCCCCAGGCCGAGCATCCTCTGACCGCACCCTCCCCCTCCCACCTTTCAAGTCACTGTCTTCTTACACCTGAGAGTGAATGAATGACCCTTGACTCTGGTTTGGCCCGAGGCACATCAGTAGTTGTCATTGTAATGTGCTGATAGCACGGGGACCTCCAAGGTGACAGGGCAGGCTTGCACCTTCTCTACATAGCCCCAGGTGGCCGTGCTTGGAGTTCCCATATCTGCTCAAGGCACACTTGGCGTCCTGCATTGATTCCTCAGTCTTTGCTGATTTTCAGTTTCTTGACCATAAAATTGAGATGATTTTGGTCAGATCCAGTTGACACAGTTATGATTGTTCTCTTCTTATTGGCCATTTAACAACTTTGTCAGATGGTTGAACAGAAATTTGCTGGTTTTTGCAGACAAGATGGAACAGTAGGAAGGGTTGAAGCTCGTTTGTTTTAAAAACAAAACAGCTGGACTGTTGTAGGTGGCAGGTCATGAAATCTGTCCCTGTAGACAGGACATTTCCTGGGTGAGCGTAGAGTCACGCCAGGAAACGTGTTGATCTTCAGGAGTGTTTCTCAGCTGAGGCATTCCGAAATATTGTCACCACCACAGGGATGATATGACGGTGAAATCCTAAAACAAACCAACAGAAGTGGTGAGCTGGCAGCCTTTAGTTACGTTGATTTCTTTCCCTTGCAGAGAAAAAAGAGGACCATTCAAAAAAAAAAACAACCAAGCATCAGTTTGTGTCGTGTTCTGTAAACTACCAAATCTTAGGCAGTCTGGGCTCACTTTACAACTAGGTTCTAAATTAGATTAGCTAAGTACAGTTTTATCCTATTCTTCTTACCCCTTTCTCCAGTACTCACCTGTACATAGGTGTGACCGTGATGCTAACCCTGACGCAGGGCCACCCCAGCTTGCTTCTGAAAAGGCCCCAGGCTTGTCTTACCCCTGCGGTCCCCTGGGACTCCCCACCCCGCGCCCCCCAACGCTCCTCACTGTGCCGTCCAGCACGCCACCCGCTGTGTGGGGCGGTGTGAAGCTAGTTTCTCAGCTGCGATGGCCACATGCGGCTAGTGGGCAGCGAGAGCGGCCCCTCTCGTTCTGGCATGGAGTTGGGCGGCAGGCAGAGACGGCGAGGAGGCTCACAGCTGCATTCGTGGACGCCCTTTCTGTGCGTCAGCGACCTGGGTTCGTCTTTCCAGCTAGCCTGTGTCCTCGTGCTCTGGTTTATTTCATTTTTAATCTTGTTTTTATATAAACTTTTATAAATTCACTGTAGTTATAATTTGGAAGAGACGGTATAATTAACAAGCGGAACTTCCAATAATGGAAGTATCGAATTACTTTGTGTCTCTGTATCTTGTGGCCTGGGTCTCAGTTGCTCAGGGCATGCAGTGCCCCTGTCCCTGCCGTCTGAGTGGATAGTTGGCAGTGACTTTTCGAGGGACTTTTGCCAGGGACTCTGACAGTTTTCGTGTTGTTCCACCTTCTAAGAATTGCTGAACAAATTGGTTGGGCGTAGCTGGAACAAACTACAGTTTTTCGGCAGTCCCCTCTCTTCTCTGATGCGTTTGTCACTGTCTTGTCTCAGTTGGTAAGTCCCTTTAGTCACCTGGTAAACCGTGCTGCAGGGCTGTGCTCTGGTCGGGTCACTCCTGGAGCTGCGTTTTGTGTTGGCGCGCTGCGTGTGGGCTCAGTGAGCGGGTTGGTGTGTCTTTCCTCGCGGTCCCCCTCCCCCCATCCTCCCTCACACGGGGGCCGCCCATGTGGGTGTCTTCTGCTGAGCACAGGCGTGTGCGCTCTCTAGTGAGGGGTGGGGTGGACGTGTGGACACTGAGGGGCCCCCCCAGGACGGCAGGCCAGGCTGTGACCAGGTGGTCCCGTGTTTGGGGTTCATGTGCAGGAGCAACTTCCAGGTCTTTTTGTCTATTGCTTAACTCCCACTTGTGTTCCTTTCCAAGACTGACGCCATGACTTTCTACCAGGAGCACGAATTGCGCCTCTCGAACCTAGAAGATGTTCTTGGAAAACTGACAGAGAAGTCAGAGGTACGCATCTCGACCTTTCCTCAGTAAGAGAGCATCCGCATCCGTCTGTGTGCTTACGCTCCTCAGCCTGCGAGGAAAAATCTTTCTGACTGTTGCCTCTTGCCCCTGCGACCTCATTTTACTGCTTTCATGTTTCACAAGTGTGTCTTTTTCACGGACTCCAAGGCATCTTTTCAAGGGGACCTGAGTCCTTGTTTCTCCTCGAGGTCACACAGCCTCCTGCAGAGTGACTTTGTAGAGCAAGAATCTTTGACAGACAGCATTAATTTTCTGGCGGAAAAGCTGTTATTATCAGATATCGGTGAAGCAGAGAGGGGGAGGCCGGGATGTTTGCACTGATCTGAGCCACAGAGACTGTGGTGCGCTCCGATTCGGGGTCCCTGGGCACGTGGATGCAGGGGCAGACATGGCGCAGCCCTGGGGGTGTTGGGGCGGCTGCCCTGTTCCTGCACGTGGAACCAGGCATGTTCCGATCACCCACTGACCGCAGAATCCGTGGTATCCACGGGGAGGAGAGGGCTGGAGAAGGAAGCCAGAGACCAGGAGCGTAGCCCTCGCTTCATTTTGTGCCATGGGGATTCTGACCTCGTTCAGCTGGAGTTTGAATGGATGCGGCTCCCCGATGTGGTGTGGCAGTGTCAGTCCCCCATCTCTGAACGGACCCTGTTCATGAGTCCTATCTCCATGTGTGAATCTGCCATGGCCTTGTCCTTCCCCATTCAAAAACGACTTCCCAGAGGTGCTGGTAATGTTCTCCTTGGCCTGGGTGCTACAGGAGCTGCTCATTTTGAAAATCCATCAGGGTGTTCCGTGTGATTTCTGCACCTCTCTGATTATATGTTGTATGTCTTCTAAAAGTTTACTTTGAGGGGCAGCTGGCTGGCTCAGTCGGAAGAGCATGTGACTCTTGATCTCGGGGTCGTGGGTTTAAGACCCATGCTGGGTGTAGAGATTACTTAAAAAACAAAATCTTAAAAAAAAAAAAAAATGAATGGTATAATCCCTAAAACAAACAAAAAACCCTTTACTTAAAAAAATAAACACCCCTCGCCTGCCAAGCGGCAGTCAGGTCTGGGCTTTGAACTGAGGGGGAAAAAATTCACAGATAAATACATGTAGTTCCATATAGAAATATAATGTTAATCAAGTGTGTGATTTATGGAATGTTAGTATATAACTCCTGTTCAAACAGTTCTTTCTCATACTTTTTAGGCCATCCAGAAGGAATTAGAACAGACCAAGCTGAGAACAGCTAGGTAGGTTAATTTCAGATGAATTTATATTTTGTCTTGTGTGTTTTCTTGTAATGTGGAACCCAGCAATCATTCCCAAGGGGGCGCTGTGTGCACAATGAGTTACGGGCTTTCTGGTGGAAACGCTCCCAGTGGTCTTTCTGGGTGGCCCTTGGCGCCACCTAAGGACAGAGAGAGTTACTGCCAGGGTGCTCTCGGAGCTGAGCCAGGGCCCTGGTGCAGGTGGACTTCTCTTTGTGAACTGTCAGCATCCCAGCAGCTGCTCAAGCGGGCAGGACGCCTGCTTTCCGGGACCACCCGTGTGTGTGGCTCTGTTCCGCTCCCGAGCTGTTTTGTGGCCATCTAAATGGCCCTTTCCCTGATGGTTTCCTGGGGGTGTGATATGTGGGCTGCTTTTGTTTGGCACCTTTGTCCGTCCCTCCGAATTCTGCTAGAAGTATGGACTTTCCCTTGACACACTCACGGTGCCTATCTTTTCCCACACCCCTCATTTTATTGACACAGGCTCTCTGCACCGCCCCCCATGTGTGTCTAGATGGGACACCTGTACCCTCCTGTTGCTCCAGGGATTCCTGCAGCTCCGCTGGGGGCCGGGGGGGACCAGACGATGAGCTTTAACTAAGCACCTTCCCACCCCAGGCTCCTGTGGGTGTTATAGATCCCATATATCCTTCCCGAAGGACAGATTTGGGTGTGACTACATCTTATTCCCTTTCAGAACCTTTAGTTTCATAAAAAGGTGTGTTGATTTGCTGGTACATGGATCCTAAAAGGTTTATCCTGCAGTCTGCTTTTCTGAGTAATGAATTATTGGTGTCTCACCAACTACACCAACTTACAAAAGAAATATAATATTGCAATATTTTACATTATAATGTATAATTCCTACATAAAATAGAATTAAACTCTGAAGCCATACATTTTTAATTCAGTTATCCGTTCCATTAGCTTGAAAATTTCTTACTCAACTTTATGGTGATTATTGATAAATATTGTCTCATTTCTGAAGTCTTTTTGTAGTTTTAGGGAGATAGACACAGGTATTTATTCAAAAGGTACAGGTGTTAAAATATGAAATGGTTTTGAGAGCTTTCTCCTAGCACTGAAAGGGAGCTGCTGGTTACAGCATGTGTTAGACGCCCTGCCTGGGCACTTGGGCATATTTGTGTGTACACGCATGGACTGACATGGACGGGGTGCATGTACACACGTGAACCGGTGCGGATGGGGTGTGTGGAGTGACGCGGACGGGGTGCGTGTAGGCGCCACATGAACCGACGCGGATATGGGGGTGCGTGTACACATACGAACCGGTGCGGATGGGGTGCATGTACGCGCATGAACTGGCGCGGATGGGGTGCGCGTACATGCGTGAACCGGTGTGGATGGGGTGTGTGGAGTGACGTGGACGGGGTGCGTGTAGGCGCTGCGTGGACTGGTGTGGATGGGGTCTCTGGGATTTTGACTTGAAGCTGATGGTTCGTGTCCCACCTTAAGGTGGGACAGGTAGAGGCGTGTGCAGTATCGACTGGTCTGGGGGTGGCGCTGGTCCCTCCACGATTCTATTGCCCGCGTTTATGTTACACATGTATGATTGGTGACGCCTGATTCCTTTCCTCCTCCCTCCTCCCGTGGACTTGCCAGCGGAGTTGAGGAAGAGCAGCACCTCCTCTCCGTGGTGAAGCATCTGGACCTGGAACTGGGTCAGCTGAAATCTGAACTGTCCAGATGGCAGCATTTGAAAACCAGCTGTGAAGAGGTTGATACCATCCAAGGAAAGGCAAGTTGTAAAATGTCTTTTCACAGAAAGGAAAAGAACACTTGAGTTGAAGTTTTAGGTTTATTAAGTTGATTTCAGTTTTCTTTAGAACCTTTATTTTCTTATATGTGAAGTTTTTAAACATCTAAGATAGAGTGGTTAATATTCAACTCTCCTGGCATTTCCTGTGATACGTTAACGCTTCAGTGTGCTTTCCACACTTTCTTTACGTGCATACGGCCATGTGCCAGCACGGATTCGGGGGTCCGCCGTTCATATGTCTTCAGCACAGTGGAGTCACATTGCACTCTGCAGCTCTGCTTGGTGTGGTCACGGATCAGGCGGTGTCAGGCCCATGCACCCTTATGCAAGAGAGGAATTCCAGACCTTTATAGCTGCGTGAAAATGAAAAAACAAACGTTTGAATGGCAAAAATTATGGGTTGGGTAAAGGCAGATAGCAGATTGGGAAAAAGTATTTGCGATACAGGTGATAAACTTATCTCCGCTTGCAAAGAGCTCCTAAAGTTGCCAGGAAAGGAGACAGTGGGAATGTGGACAAAGCATGTGAGCAGGCCACTCAGTTCCACTAATTGGGTTTGCAAGAAGGAGAGCAGTCGCCCCAGTGCTGACCTGGCGGCATCGTGAACGCCTGCAGCCTTTTGGGGGTGGGATGTCTTAGGGTATTTACCAGTTACAAAGATGCATACTCTTTGCAAGTAGCAGCCTCAGTCTTGGGACTCTCCCAACAGAAGTGAAAGCACTGGGCAGACAGGCACGGGGAGGACGTAGCAGGGTGTCTATGGTGTGGGGTGCCACAGAGCTCTGGGAGTGGCTGAGCTGGGCCTCCCTGCATTATTTCTCTGTGCATCTCTCGTGCCAAGCAAGAAGGGGAGGTGTGTAGAAATAACATGCAAGGGCATTTCTAGCGTACGTGAAGTAACACTTCAGTTGTTGGCATAACTGATTCCTTACCAGACTGAGTTTGAGGACAAGGGGCTCCCCTGTCTCCACACCTGACTCACGGGGGCACCCTGCTTGGTAAATGCCCTCTGAGGAGCACACGCAGGAGCAGGCCGGCGAGGTGGACGGAGACGCTGTCCTTGGCTCTCTGGGTGCACACTGCGCTTTTCTGTTCCCGTTCTCTGTAACATATTCCAGCATTTTTGGAGAGGTTCTCAAATTGTAAAGGGGGAGAATTGTCGCATTTACATTATGGATATTTGAGAAGCTTGGTGATAGTTTCGAGGTGTTAAGGTGACAGAAGCGAAGTGTTGAGAGGGTTTTGTTAGAACAGTAACTTCATGTTCTGCTTGTGAATGGTCTTCCTAGGTAGACGCCCAGGTCCGAGAAACCATCAAACTCATGTTCTCGGACGGGGAGCAGGGCGGTTCTCTCGAATGGCTGCTACAGACGGTTTCTTCTCGGTTCGTAAGCAAGGACGACCTGCAGGTTTTATTACGGGATTTGGAGCTGCAGATCCTGAAGAACATTACACACTACATCTCTGTGACGAAGCAGGTTCCAGATTCTGAAACCGTAGTATCTGCTGCAAAGGAGGCAGGGATTTCCGGAATCACAGAAGCGGTAAGCGCACAGCGAGAAATGCAGTGCGTGTCATAATGGGGCTGGTGACCTAGTTACTGAGCTGACAGATGTGCTGGGAATGCCAGAGGTGCTCAGCACGGTGTGGGGTGCGGGGAAGCTGCGGCTGCTGCGGCTGTCACCCAGCTGTCCACCTGGGTGGCCACACACCTTGTGAAATCACAGGACTTGCCCAGGAATACGGTGCCGGGCTGCTGTCCCAGACTCTAGTCCTTGCTTTGTCGTATTCTGTGGAACCCACGGGTTCTCCAGCTCATGATTGTCATGGCTGTGTGTGAGAGCCCACGGTGACAAGGCAACCCCGTCCCACGTCCACGTGTCGGCCCCTGTGGTAGGGGTGCAGGACTGAACCCCCCGCCAAGCCTGTTATCCCCAAATGCAGTTAACTGCAAATGTATTCTTGATGGAAATGTCTGGCCTTCATTTCTACATTAACGCTGAGTCCTGTCTCCCCACTGTGCACTTGGCTGTGTCCAGCAAGCACGTGTCATCGTGAACAACGCCTTGAAGCTGTATTCCCAGGATAAGACTGGCATGGTGGACTTTGCTCTGGAGTCTGGCGGTGAGTACACTCCTGGTTACCAAATACAGTGGTCACCTGTTGGCCTGCTGCGGCCTGCCCCACTTCCAAGCAGTCTGGAACCCGATGCTGAGAAAGAGCATCACTCCAGTTACGCCCCTCACGCTCTTGCTTTAGGGGGCAGACAGCTTCTCCCGTGGAAGGGCTGCTGGTGACGCGTGTGGCTCTCACATCAGTTGGCATCAGCACAATCCCAGTTTGGAGGCTATATCAGAGTTTACTGCCACAGAAACACCGATTATGATCTTGCGTGTGGTGAAGTGTGTTTAAGTGTAGAAGTGCCGTAACGGACACGAGAACAGCAGTTTTCAAACTGTTTCCCAGAGCGCTCAGTGACACGAACACATGTCCCTCCAGGCATTTAGTGAGCGATGGGTTTGTGCCTACTGCATGCAGGGACCGTCCTGGGTACCAGCAGCCCCGGCCCCGCAGGAGCCTTCCCTCCATGGGGGAGATGGTGGCAGATAGAAAGCAGCCCGTGATACCTAGCCATGAGGACGGCTCCTGAGTGAGCGGAGCTGTGGGGTGCTGCTTTTGTTCCACAGAGAAATGAAGGGGAGCATGGTGGCCTGTTAGGTCAGGGAAGTGGTGCGTGCAGCAGGCGCGCGGGCTTAGGACCCCGTCCTCAGGGCCAGGTGTATTGAGCCATCATAGTGGTGGTCTAGTGAAGTGTTGTGGTCCACACGTCTTCTGTCACCTACTCCCTCAGCGACGTTTGGGACGGCACCCCCGGATCAAGCAGAGGAGCGTTTCTGTGAGGAAACGGGTGAATGTCCGTACTACACAAGAGGGGTGAAGACTCTGAGGGACATCACATCTGTTTAGGGGAGGTTTGGGTGCCATCTGTGTCACTGAAAGTCTTGGTTTTCTGAGTTTTTAAAATTTAGGACTTGCAGATCAACAGCTGGTGAACCAGCATTTTCTCTCAGAGAAAGGGAGGTTCTTCACGCACGGTAGCCGATGGCAGGGTCGGAGAGCCCTGCAGGGTGACTTGGTTTAGCCTCACCCGGCACTGTAGGCAGTCTGCGTGATGCCCCGGTCAGGAGCCTGGTCCCCATAGGCCCCGCACTGGCCCAGAGCCACCGCTGTGTGCGAACCCCCCCCACATTCTCCCACGTTCCCCTGGTGTCCCCCAGGAGTCAGGAAGGCTCTGAACTGTTGTTAGCGTATGTTCTATGGAGAATGACGTTTTTAGACTATTAAGTGATTTTAGTTAACATGGTTTTGAAATTCAGTGATTTATGAAGAAACCATATCAATTCAGAGACATCAAGTGCTGTTTTAACCACTCAGCTGGGTAATTTCTCAGGAGCACAACTAATCCTGACAGACTTGTATGTCTGTAGAATTTTGGTAATTTTAATGTTCAGTGCATTACTCAAGGCATTCACTGACTCTTTGTAAGTTAAAAGAGTATTTTTTTATAGGGTCCATATTTAAGGATTTTTTTTTTTTAATGAGGATAGAATGTTTAAAAAGGTAATCGAGAGGCTCAGAAGTTCAGGTCTGTTGATCAGCAAGGTCAACATCACTTTGTCTTCTTGTGCAAATTCCCGGTTCTGCCCGCTCACGATCAGAGGAAGAGTCACCACGCGGCCCCCACAGCTGCATCTGGGCGTGTGCTGTGGGGGCTTTGGTGGCCCGCCCCAACTTGGGAACCCCGATCTCTTCAAATACAAACTTCTCAGCAGCTTTTATCTTATTTTAGTTTATTTTTTATTTTTTTATTTTAAAGACTTTATTTGACAGAGACACAGCGAGAGAGGGAACACAAGCAGGGGGAGTGGGAGAGGGAGAAGCAGGCTTCCCGCGGAGGCAGGGAGCCCGATGTGGGGCTTGATCCCAGGACCCTGAGATCACGACCTGAGCCGAAGGCAGATGCTTAACAATTGAGCCACCCAGGCACCCCAGCTTTTATTTTATATATATATATTTTTTGAGAGTTGTTGTTGCTTCCCACACCATCTTGTTTGGTTTGGCACCAGCACCCTGTCTGCCCTATTTCTTTCTTTCTTTTTTTTTTTTTTTTTTTATATTTTATTTATTTATTTGACAGAGAGAGATACAGCGAGAGAGGGAACACAAGCAGGGGGAGCGGGAGAGGGAGGAGCAGGCTTCCCGCTGAGCGGGGAGCCCAATGCGGGGCTTGATCCCAGGACCCTGGGACCATGACCTGAACCAAGGCAGACTCTTAACAAGTGAGCCACCCAGGCGCCCCTGCCCTATTTCTTGTTGAGGGTCAAATTGCACATTTTTTTAATGTTTTTGTTTTTTTTTTTTAAAGGAGATATAATTCGCATAACCTGAACTTCACCCTATTAAAGCATTATGATTCAGTGGTTTTTAGTGTATTCACTCCAGAATACATATGTTACCCCAAATAGAGCCATGGACCTGTTCTGTTAGCAGACGTGGCCCCCGCCCCCTGTCCCCTGAGCAGCTGCTGAGAGCGTCCCGTTGCTATGGCCTGTGGGTAGTGGGCCCTCTAATGACACACATGCATGTCAGGGAACTCCTGCCTGTTGGAGTCGTTGCTCTTTCTTAGTAAAAGGCACGAAAGTTCATTCAGAGTCCCCTTTGCTAGAGTGGCGGACAGGGGTGCTGCTTTGGGAGGTGGCACCTGTGTGCTGAAGCAGCTGCAGACTTTAACCCCGAACTTGGAAAAAGTCAACGTGAGCCTGGACTGTTCTTTGTAGAAGTTAAAAGCTTGAGAATGTTCGCCCCTTCCAGTGAATCCCTGTCGGGTAAGGAGACTCCTTCCCAGTGGGATCATTGCAGACTCTGAGGCAGCTCTGAACTCTGCTTTAAGGTGGGAGCATCCTGAGCACGCGCTGTTCTGAGACATACGAGACCAAGACCGCACTCATCAGCCTGTTTGGGATCCCGCTCTGGTACTTCTCCCAGTCCCCACGCGTCGTGATCCAGGTGAGTCCTGATCTGGGTGTCCCCCCGCGCCCCCCACCGTGACCCTGGTAGGAGCCAGGAGCCATGTTGTGGCCGCTTTTACTGCAGCATCATATACGTCCCTACGGAAGGGTGCTGACCCAAGGGCTCAGCTCCGTGGGTTCGCACAGAGCAACACCCCGGCACCGCCCCAGAGGGGGACCTCTGGTGCCCTCACTTTGGCTGTGCATCATGCCCTTGTCCTTCTGGGTCATCCCTGCAGCGCGAGCCACTGGTGCCCTGTTGCAGCCCAGGTGACAGCCGAGGGTGTTCTCTTGTGAGACAAGGTTGTGCTTCGTGGTCCGTGAGGAGGCAGAGCAGGTGGAGACCCCTCCCTTGCACTGCCGTGCGCTGCACACAGCACGCGCCAGCTGACAGGGCTTCACACTCTCTCTCCGGAGCCTCTGTGGGCTGCTCTTGGGGTGCACGGCTGCTTGTGCCTGGCTTGTGTTACACAGTTGGTCACCGAGACTGAGGAGGAAGAATTTAAATTGTCCCATGTTTGTTTCCTCTCGTAAAGTGCTGTCTCGTATTACTGACTTCTTTGAAGAAGTTCTTTTCTTCAAAACAAGAATTCACGAACTAATTCACAAACTAATCTGACCATGAAGTGTCAGTAAGTTAAGATTTCCCTGCCCTAGTGCTGTCGTGGTTCTTCCATTGTCCTTGGGAGCCCAGCTGGTAACGAGTGTGTGTGGGCGGCTTCCCTGCAGGCCTGAGCCCCTGCCAGGCCTACCCAGCCGTCTGTTGGGGCGCCGTCGCTCCCCCGGGCACCGGTTTGTGGCCACTCACAAGACCCCTCAGGCGTTGCCTTGGCTGCCTCGGACAGTGCAGAGGGCTTGATGTTCTTGACGTCCCCGCGATACCACACTGACCGCGGCATTGTGCCTGTTAGCCAGCTGGATCCGGTCGTCCGGAAGTAGCTGGCACTTCAGATGTTAGATGTATGTGAGCGAGGGAATGCTTTGTCAGGAGAATTCCCACAGGAACTGGAACCGGGAGGGAGGAATAGGAGAAACTGTTACCTGTAATGAAATTGGAGGAATAGGTGATTGCCTTCTTAGAAGTAAAGAGAATTTGTATAGAATCTGGCAACAGCAGACACAGGATTCACTCCTACTTCCGTGACCAAGCCAGGGTGGGGGTGGGGACACATCTGAGATAGTGTCCCCCAGCCCTCCTGGGGCCCTACCTTTTTGTAGAGGGCACAGCCAGGGCTCACTGAATCGTGCCACCCCCTGGAACACACGCGAAGCCCAGCCTCCGTGGTGCTGGGGAAAGCTGTTCCCAGGCAGGGGACTCCTAGAGGCACTTTGCTGTCCACAGCACCCGGAGCGGTGCCAAAGGGACCTGCAGTGTCCCTGCAGTGCCGTCTGGGGACAGAGCGTAATCCTTGGGGGCCCAGATCATTTTCACAGGGCAGGCAGACAGGACGCGTAGATGAAGAACAAAAAGGGCTCAGCAAGAATGAGTACAAGCATAAGCACATGGCGGAGGGGTCACCGCACCCCTGCCCCATCCCTCCCGTTCCACCTCGTGGGCGGCCGCGCGCCATGCACCTGACTCGTGCACTTGGCTGCTTCTGGTCAGCACAGCACGTTCAGCTAAGGCCCCTGTCAGTAGGCATGGTGGCTCTTCTTTTGCTATTAAAAGTCCTCTCCCAACAAAATATCCTCACGCCTGTCAATTTTGTATTTTTGTCAGGGTATCTTAGGGACGGCAGGGGACTGCTGGGTCAGAGGGTTGATGCATAAGGAGCTCTGCTGGATTTTGCCAAACGACACTCCTTGAAGGGGGTACGTTGTGCGTACTGACCAGCAGTTAGCGTGCGTGGTTCCACAGGCCCTTCCGTTATTGTTGATCTTTTCGGTGAGAAAGGATAACACCTGTGTTTGCCTCGCCCATTTTTGTTGAAGGTGCTGGTTATTTTAACTGTTAGGAGGCTCACTCCCATACCGGAGACAGCCACCCTCTGGGGCTTAAGTTGCAAATGCCTTTCCCCAGTTTGTCATTTGATATTTGCTTATCATGGTTTTTTATTTTGCAAAAAGTCTTTCGTTTTTATTTCATTGTTATTAGTGTTTTCTCTTTGTGTTTCTGTATTTTAAGTTTTAAAACGCCAGGCACATTCTCAAGAGCTTGTTTCACTACAGTTGACCCTTCATGGGGGTTTGAGCTGCGCACGTTCGCTCTGGCAGGTGTGTGTTTATAAATGCAATGCTGGAACAGTGTGTTTCCTCTTCCTTATGATTTCCTTAATAACGATTTCTTTCTTCCAGCTTATTTCATTTTAAGAATACAGCAGATCACACGTGTATAAACCCTGTGTTGATCGACTTTATGTGACTGGTGGTCAACTGTAGGCTGCTAGTGGTTAAGTGTGTGGGGTGTCAGAAGTTACACGTGGAGTTCTCACTGTGCCAGGGGTCAGTGCCCCAGCCCCCACGTCGATTGAGGGTCAGATGGATTAAGTCATTGTCTTCTGCCTCTTCCCTAGCCTGACATACATCCAGGTAACTGCTGGGCATTCAGAGGCTCCCAGGGGTACCTCGTGGTGAGGCTGTCCATGAAGATCCACCCAACCGCCTTCACTCTGGAGCACATACCAAAGACGTTGTCGCCCACGGGCAACATCACCAGCGCTCCCAAGGACTTTGCAGTCTATGTGAGTGAGCCGGGTCCCGGTTCTCCTCTCCCTCCTCCTCCCGCTCTGGGACTTGCCCACAGATGAGCCCATCAGAAAAGGCTGTTCCTGGTGTTGCTGGCTCCTGTCCTCCCCTCAGCCCTTCAGTGCTCTAAGCAGATGAGACGCCAAGGGCGCCACCCAGTCCTTTCCTGGGGAGGGCAGCTTGTAGGGAGTATGTTCTCTGCCACCCAGCCTGTGGACCTGGAGAGTCCGGTTTCCAGAGAACATGTGGCCGTTGGGCTGTGAAGGCAGCTGTGACAATTGTTTCCTGCCGGATTGACAGGAAACTTCCAACACACAAGTTGGAAAAAGAGCACTCAGGATTCCCATTGTTCATGCTGCAGCATTTTCTGCTCTCTCCTTTCTCCCTGTAAAAAATACAGTCAAGACAACACAGTTCATAAAATTTTGTTTCTTGCCTTAAAAAAACAAATTTCCCATAGATATTTTTTGATGGCAATTAACTTTTTTTTTTTTTTAAGATTTGAGTGAGAGAGAGAGTGGGAGAGGGACAGAGGAAGAGGGAGAAGCAGGCTCCCCACTGAGCAGGGAGCCCGATGCGGGGCTTGATCCCAGGACCCCGGGATCATGACCTGAGCTGCAGGCAGACCCTTAACCGACTGAGCCACCCAGGCGTCCCTGATAGCAATTAACTCTTTGCACACATTTTTAAATAGCATAAAATACCATTTTGTAGCTAAACCTGGATGTACCTCTCCAGTTTGCCGCTGTGACGCCAGCTGTCCTCCCTCCCTTAGACCAGATGCTCACAGCCCTGCATGCCTCACCGCGGAGGGGGCAGAGGGGGTGGCCGGGGCGTGAGTGTCTGCAGGGCCACTGACCCATTGCTGTGGGCGGGTTACCAGCACTGACCTCCCTGCGCCCTCTTGTTCTCATCTCCGCTAACTTGACAGGTGAAAACAGCATATTTCATCTACGTTGCTGTGCATTTCACATGCACTTTCCTTTTTTTTTTTTTGGTAGGTTTGTCTTATTTTTATTCATTTATCTTATAGGATCTTAGTTTCCTTATGCATACCTGAGCTGCTTTCTACAGAAACGTTAGTCATGTGTCATGTACAGATGCACTTCCCAGTGTTGGTCCTTTGATGCTGCGTTTGGCCATGTGTGCCCATGGCCCATTGTTGCTTCCATGCATCCCACACCGAGCAATCCTTCCCCGTGATGACACACTTCAACGGTCACCTCTGTTTCCTGCTGGTGACTTCCTTCTTGTGGCAAAACACACACCAGAGTCACCCCCTTCCCCATCTGAAGCATGCAGTTCCCTGGACACTGGCACATTGGCACAGCTGTCCTTCACAGAACTTGCTCATCTTCCCAGACGGAGACTCTGTCCCCATGCCACACCAGCCCCTGGCACCCCCCATCTGCTCCCTGTGCAAGGCGGCCTATTGTCCTTTTCCTGGGCTCATCAGGCACCCTGGGGTTCCACTCTGGAGTGTTGAGGGCACCATGGGCCACATGGGTGACAGAGTGGTCTGTGCAGTTGGGCAGTCAGTCCTGTGTCTCGTTAGCTTGCCAGTTGCAGTGTGGTTCTCCCTATCTTGTGTGACAGGAGGAATAACAGCTGTCTCAAGGGGTTGTCGTGGATTGTGTGAGGTCCTTAACAAAGTGCCAAGCTTTTAACAAGAGGGCCTTATTAATGCTTTCATCCTCCCAGATTATGTTGAGGGGAAGCAACCCTAATTAATGTAGTGTCTTTTTCCTGTACTTAATGACTATCTGATTTTGGTTTCAGGGATTAGAAAATGAATACCAAGAGGAAGGGCAGCTTCTGGGACAGTTTATTTATGATCAAGAAGGGGAATCACTCCAGATGTTCCATGTTCTGGTAAGGACTTGCACGGCTCCCAGGGGCCCGTGGGTTCCTCCTGTCGAGTGGGCAGGACAAAGCTGCCCAGGGGCGTATGTGGGCGTAAGCCCCTGAGAAAAGTGGAATCTGAGCTTCCCAGCTCTTCCCAAATGAGCCTTTGTAGTGTATATTTTGCTCTGCACACAGGCGTCCTGTTACACTCATAGTAAATCTGTGGCTCGTGAGGAGTTCCGTTTTGCCTGAGCTCTGTGTCCTGCAATAGATGACGGAGTTCACACTAACACCTAATTTCCGACGTGGCTGCTTCCTGTCAAATATGTCAGAGTTGGGGAAGTGATTGGGCCTGGGATGTTGTGAATTAAGTGTGACCCCTTCCCTTTCAATTTCAGAAAAAACCTGACGGAACTTTCCAGATAGTGGAGCTTCGGATTCTCTCCAACTGGGGCCATCCTGAGTACACATGTCTCTATCGGTTCAGAGTTCACGGAGAGCCTGTCCAGTAGAGACCCTCCTATGGTTCTTGTACATTTTGTATATACGGGGACAGCCTCAAACACTGGAGCCCTTCCTGAACCAGGGCACCTGGAGCATCGGGAGGACGTCACCCCTAAATGAACTTGCCAGTGGGAGCTGATGCCCCGCTCGCTCTTCTGTCCACAGGAAACACTGCATGTTGAATGCCTGGCTTCCCTGAGATCCGCCGGCCACAGCCCATCTCTGGGAATCCATTGGAACATGTGGTTGTTAGGGGGTTTGTTTTGAACATAAAGCTCTTGATACTTGTATTCTCTCGACATCAGGAACAAAGCAAGTGAAGCTACAGGTCAAAGTGTTCTTGAAGCTTTGATATTTAGCCTTTCACTGGCCCTTCTACAGGACTTTGGGGGCAGACCTATTTCATCTGTTCCATCCAGCGCACGTTTCTTTCAGGGAAAAACATTGCCACCAAATTTCAGAGTTCTGAACTCCTTTCCTTTAGGAGAGGGTTTCTCCTTTCTTCAGCACCATTAGTTAATGTAAGTTCCCAGGTGGGGAAATAACTGTTTCTCTACTTGATTTGCTCCTGCTTCTGAGAAAGACTTTCACAGTCAGGCCTGGGTGTGTTGTTTCTGTTCAGGATCCAGGGTGATTCGTTTTGTTGTGGGCTTAAAGTGGGTCTGATTTGAAAGGGGGTGGTGGTCTGGATCTCAGCCAACGCCTGAATGGAGCACTCAGGTCTCAGCGAGGCTCTGCCCATTGGGGGGCCACCCTGGAGTTGGACCTCACAGTGTCCGTAGGATTCCAGAAATCCAACCTTGGGGATGTCATCAGGTTGTGTTTTAAATTTTGCTGCAAAGTTGAACACTAATGTGCTGCCAGTCTTTCAGGATCTTCAGTTTTTACTCTACTGATGGTTCTCCAAGGAGACTGTCCAGTGTGGCAAATTCATCATTACGTTGTAATGATGAATGTGGTTTATAATTTTTCTTACGGCGGCACTTTCTTCCTGGCTCTAGTTGGGATTTGCCTCTTACTACAACTGTTGGCCATTCTCAATTCCTAGGAGACTCGTTTTGTTTATAATTAATATTTAATATTTAGACTATTTTACTGAGCAGACTTTATAAATGAGATATTTGCAAGGCACTTAAAGTGTTACAGATGTTTTAAAAATTATTTAAGTTTTATTGGGCTAAGAGTCTTTTGGTGTTCTCATAAACACTGTATTTTCAGAAACAGAAAGTGATGGTGCTGACTGGGGTTTTATGTGTACTGCACAACTGTCCTCGACTACATAAAGTAGCATTTTTTTCACTCTTAGAATTGGAACTAAATAAATGCCTATGCAGTTAAGTTGGATAAAATGTATACAGATGTTTCAGATATTACAGGATAAATATATAAATCAAAATTTCCTATATAAAACTAAATTTGGGAGTTGGGTGGAAATATTTTGAATATTTATTTTTAAAGATGCAGAATAGGACTTTGTGCACGGTATTTTTGTAAATGCTTTTCAAAATACTTGTCTTTGGTAGTTCTTCTTTTGCTGCCACCAAATTGATAAGATGCTATTGAAATGTTTAAATAAAGAGTTTAAATTTTTAAAAGTGCATGTGATGTTTCCAGTGAAGAATAAACGGTCTATTTCTTTCCTCAGTTTGCCTTGTTCCTGCCCAAGGGTATGGGGGAGGTACCAGTGCATTTCATATTCCTGCTGCCTCTGCCCTCTGAGGTTCCAGGTCAGCAGGTGCTTGATCTCAAAGGAACACCTGTGTCATCAGAATGTCTGCTGCTGAAGGCAGGTGTGGGACACAAGCTCATTGTCAAGCCTACCCCAGGGTTGGTGCGTTGAGTAAACATTTATCGAGTGCCCACTGTGTGTGGCGCACTGAGCTGACTCACTGGTGAGCAAGGACGAAGCGCCTCTCCTTCAGGAGCTGCAGCGGGCGCAGCACGAGGGCCGTGAGTCCGGAAGGGACCCTAGAGGCAAGGACAGCCCAGGGCCAGCCGACCTTGTGCCTCCCTGACTGTGGATTTTCAGGGGCAACCAGCATTCCCATGTTTTTATCCTTCTGTAAACCCCCCTGCCCACCAGCAAAGATGTGCGTGTGCTTCAGCGCTGTTCACACAAATGATGGCGGACTCAATGTACTGTTTTGTGTCTCCATTGTTTCAGTTATGGAACAGATCTTGGAGATTGCCTACCCATAAAGAACTTGTTAAAAAACAGCTCTACTGTTGTTTGCATGGGTATACTCTTTAGTTTGAACCAGTCCCCAATGGATGGACATTTTGTTTGAATTTTTCCCTATACAAACAGTAGGTGTGCAAAGAAGGAGCACTCTGTACTCCATACCCTTGGGGTCTGGAGTTGGCTGACCCCGAAATCCAGGTGGCCTTCAAATGGAAAAACGGCATAAGTTGTGCTTCCTCCCCCGTGCCCGTGCCCAGAACCCGTCCATGCCCCCGTCCCCGTGCCCAGAACCCGTCCATGCCCCCGTGCCCGTGCCCAGAACCCGTCCATGCCCCCGTCCCCGTGCCCAGAACCCGTCCATGCCCCCGTCCCCGTGCCCAGAACCCGTCCACTGTCCCCACGCTGTCCCTGTGCGCGTTCTTGTCCCCGTTTCCCCCCAGACCTCCAGCTCCGCGTTAACAGGCGGTTCTGTGTCCAAGCGAGCCAACGACTGCTCGTTCTCGAGCAATGACTTGTCACCTGGACTTGGCCCTCTTTGGCCCCAGACCCGGTCGCCCTCACCTCCCCAGGGCGGCCTGCGGCAGAAAGCATGAAAACATGGCTTTTATTTCAGAATCTTGGCATCCCAACGACCGCTGAACTGGTGGTGGTTAAGCCTCGGGCCAGCCGTCCTGGGAGCACCCGCGGCCGGTAGGCCCAGCCCCCGCGCTCTGCCGTCACGCGTCGTCCCCATTGTGGCGTCAGCGTGCCCCACCGCCGGGACGTGCGTGCCCGCCGTCTTTCCGCCCCGCGGCCGCGGAGCCGCCCAACGCAGGCTCCGCGGTCCCGCCCCTCGGTCACGTGGCCGCCCGCCGCAGGGTCTGCGGCCCCGCCCCTCGATCACGTGGCCGCCCGCCGGCGTGCCCGCCTCCAGCTGCGCGCGGCTCCTCGTGGGCCACCGTAGAGGGCGTCGGGCGGCCGCCGGGACGGAAGCCGAGAGGCGCTGCCGACCGCGCCTGCGACAGCGTCAGCCCTGCGCGGAGCGCCGGCCCGATGGCGGCGGCGGCGATGGCCGAGCAGGAGAGCGCCCGGAACGGCGCCCGGAACCGCGGCGGGGTCCAGCGCGTGGAGGGCAAGCTACGCGCCAGCGTCGAGAAGGGCGACTACTACGAGGCGCACCAAATGTACCGGACCCTCTTCTTCAGGTAGCCGCGGTGCTGCGGCCGCCGCCTTCCAGGGCTTTCCGCCGAGCCCGGCGCCCCGCCTCCGGCCGCCTCCCATTGGCCGCGCCGCGCCGCCCCGCGCCCCCGTTGGCTCGCGCTGCTGCCTGTCGCCGCGGCGGTCGGAGCAGGCGGGCGGCCGGGCAGGCGGAGGACGGAGGACGCCGGGCCCGGCCTCTGCCTCAGCCCGGCGTCTCCTCCCCGGCCTCCCCCTGCCCGACCCCCTCCGCCCTCCCTGGGCCCTCACCCGGCGTCGCCCATCCGCGGCCTCGCCTGGAACGAGCCCCGGGGTCTGCGGCCCCCGGCGGTCCGGTCGTGCGGGTGAAACGTGCTCCCGCCCCGCGGTCCCCGCGGCTCACGCCGGAGCAGCCGTGACCGTGAGCCCGCCCCGCGCCTGCACCCGCGCGGTCGGGGGCTGGGGGAACGCGGGGGGGCCCGGCGGCGAGTCCCGGGGGCCAGGGGCACTGGGCGGCTCACTGCGCGTGCCGGGGGCTGGCTACTGCTGCGGGGCGCGCTGAAGTCAAAGGTGCTTTCTCCGCGCGGCTCCGGCGCGTCGGCAGGTGTGTGGCCTGCGGCGATCCCCGCGTGGGCTGCGCGGTCACGGGAGCTGTGCTGTGACGCGCTGCTGCTGTGGTCTGAGTCGTCGTCGCGCGTGGGGGGCGCTCGGCGGTGCTGGACGGTCCGGGCGGAGCAGTGGGGGGGGTTCGCTGGGATGGGATGGGCCTGGACGACAGGTGTCGGGGTTCAGTCGGGTCCGTGGAGGGCCTTTTCTGCCCGAACTGTTGTGGTAGGGCACTGAGGGGCCGTTGGGGCGGGCCTTTGCACCGTTCAGGCCTAGGCTTTGATGTTGTCTGTGAGTGACACGATGGATCAGGGTCTGCGGGGACTCCGAGGTCTTGTCCCGGCCATGCTCGTGCTCCGCGGCTTGGAGGAAGCCCGCGCAGGAGTGAGCACAGCTGGGCGTAGGCCTCCTCCGCCTGGCAGCTTCACCAGCCAGAAGTCCGCGTGAGGGGAGCTTTCCCAGCGCTCCAGATTGGCCCGGGTGCTGGCTGTTCTCTGGATTGCTACGCAGATATTTACCCGCTGATTAATCAGCAAAACTGGATCTTCCCAAAAATAAACAATGTTTCTTGTTTTGAGACAGTTTTGCCCTGTGGGATGAGCTGTGAAGAGGCAAGTCTCTCTGCCCATGTTTGGGGGTGGTGATGGAAAGCAGGCTCTCTGCCACCCCGGCCTTGACTTGGTTTCGGATTCCACCTGTGCTCTGTGACCTAAGACCAGCCTCGGCTTCCTCATGGGGCATCTGGGGTGCGCCTACACCGCTCGGGAGTTGGGAAAAATAAATCATCTGCCGTGGGCCCCACTGGGGACAAAGTTAATGGTGGCATTCATGGCCATTCGTAAGGCCTGGCTGAACTAGCCTGGACTTGTCCCTGACTCCCAGGGTGCCGTCCCTGAAGACCTGTGATTCCAGTCCCGTTGAGACCCTCCTGGGTGTGCAGCTCCTGGATGAGTCTGATTCACTGGGTTATACTAGGTTCTTGGTCTTTCTGTAAATCAATATATGTGTCTGTATTTAAGTGTTTACGTGAAAAGTGCAGTTTGATGCATTTTGGCATGTATGTTCCCATGAAACTACCCCCAGTCAAGATACGGAGAACATCCATCACCGAAAACGTAAAAGGTTCTTTTCTCTGTTCTCAGAATCCATCGCTCACAACCCTTGCCCCAGGCAGCCAGTGCTCTCTGTGGCCCATAGGTTGATTTGCATTTTCTAGAATGTTTTGTAAGTGGAATCATATCCTCTTTTTGCACATCTTGAGTTTGTACAGCATGATTATTTGGAGATTTACCCACATGTGAAGCATTAGTTCATTTCTGTTGCCGAGTGGTGTTCTGTGGTGTAGATGGACCACAGCTTGTTACCTACTTACCTGTTGGGATACATTCACCAAATTGCTGTGTTTTGTTTTGTTTTTTAACATTGTATTTATTTGAGAGAGCGTGTGCGCGCACAGGAGGGCACGAACAAGGGAAGGGGCAGAGCGGGGAGGAAGAAGCAGACTCCCTGCTGAGCAAGGGTCTCAATCCCAGGACCCTGAGATCATGACCTGAGCTGAAGATAGAAGCTTAACTCACCAAGCCACCCAGGTGCCCCCAAATTGCACTGTTTTAATTGTGTTTCATAGCAGTTGAAGGAGAAGGGGCCACGCAGTTGGGCAGTGCGGTGGGTTGGACTTACTCCGTGCGCGTGCCTCAGGTGTGGGCAGTAGTTGAGGCCTGGTGGCGCAGCTGGAGGCTCTGACCATTCAGTGGTGCTGGGGCCAGTGGGTGGCCACCCAGTGTCTTCAGATCTTTCTCCGCCAGGACGAGGAGGGAGTCTGCTTTCAGGCCTGTTGCTTTATTGGCGCTCGGTCATTCTCCACCCCCTTTCTGGCTTCCATGGCTGTTTTGCAGGGTGGCCACAGGGCCACTTGGCCCAGTATTAGGATCGCCACCTTCCGGGAGGGCCTGTGCAGCCAGCCTACCTCCCCTTCAGGGGCCTTTTTGAGATTTGTGTGGTTTTGCCTCTTAAATGAAGAAAAATTTTTTAAAAGAAAAACTTACAGGGGCGCCTGGGTGGCTCAGTCAGTTAAGCGTCTGCCTTTGGCTCAAGTCATGATCCTGGGGTCCTGGGATTGAGCCCCGTGGGGAGTCTGCTGCTCCCTCTGCTCCCCCTCCAGTCAGTTGTTGGCTGGCAGATGACACCAGCATGTGCCCACAAGGTGCGCCGAGCAGGTACACCTGCCGTTGGGGGCTGCATGCATGGTGCCGGGCTGGAGGGTCCTTGCTCCATCTCTTCTCAGCGCCCCGGAGCCTTGGACCCAGAAACTATAATTCCTTTCCATTCCCTGAGTTCTGCAGAAAGAAGCACGTTCATTTCTCAGGGTTGCCTTTCACTGTTTTTGGCTTTCCTTGATTTGCAACAGGTGATTTCACCTGGATGGGAAGAGTGTTGGACGGGGTGCTTTGCCCTGCCCCCCCTTGGGCCCCCAGGCAGGTGCTTGAAAGCAGGCCCTGTTACCCCAGTGATTTGCTGTCACCTGCTTGTTAGCAACTTCTTTTATCTGGTGTTCTGAGAGGTGGTCTCTTGCTGTGCATCAGACGGAGGAGTCTAGAGTTCTGTCCTGTGTTTTGTAAGTAGCAGCATGCTGGCAAGATTGTCACTTAGGATAAGTGCCTATACATCCATGGAAGTGGCAGCATGAGGTGGTGTGCCTCCGAATACTTGTCTTTCCAGAACAGTCCGTGGCAGTGCTGGCCCCAGGTCATGTGCAGGGCGGCTCCCAGCAGGACCAGACTGGGATGAGCTGGGTTGGTGTGGGAGTAGGCTGTGTGTGTGCGTGTGCGAAGGAGAGAGAGAGAGAGAGATGGCTCTCAAAAGCGCTGTTGCAGAAACCACAGGCTGTGCAGATGACCTGCAGGCTGGCGGTGGTTTTCTTTCTGGGGTGCAGGTTCTTCTCACCAGCCCCACCCCCCTGCCCAGCAGATGGGGTCTTCTGTTGGGGCCGTGTCTGGGCCAGCTGGGTTCCCCTGTGTGTGACTGTGATGGGGTTGTGTTCTCCTGGGCGGGGGGCGGGGGGGGGTGTCTGGTTGTGAAACCTTTTTGAAGAAAATACCTTTTCTGTGGTTAATTGAACAGCCAAGCGCTCGCATTCCCACCTGACCCGTTGGTCCAGGTGAGCTGCAGACGGGCTCCCAGGTGCGTGTGTTTGGTGTTTGCCTGTCTTGGTAGCACCTCCGTGCTGCTTTAGTATCTTTAATAGGTTGTGTCTTAACTGTGAGCCACAGACTTGAGGGGTTGTATTTCTTTTCTGATGATCATGGAGTTAAATTCCAGCCAGTGAATGGAGCGTCCGGCACCACCTGTGCCTAGCTCCGCGTGTGCTTTGGGAAGCCACTTCCTGCTGTTGACTTTCTCTCCCACCCAGCTATGCTTCGCTGGACGTGGTCTGTTGCAGATGGACCATCGTCCCATGGTCTGTGTTGAGTTAGTTGCTGGGCTCTGGCTGCTCTGTGTTTGTCTCTGCAGTTCAGGAAACTGAGAAATGTGCTCAAAGTGGGAAAGTGAGGCGGGGCGGAGGGGCTCTTGGGGGGTGGGGACTGCAGTGACATCACAGTGGGTGCTGTGTGCGTGCGTGTGTCCCCCACCCGGGAGTCTTCGTCCTGGAGCTCCTGCTGTCCCAACCCCTGAGCGCAGCCTTGACCCTTGGTTCTCTGATGGACCCCAGTGTGCTGCTCTGTCCCTCACGCAGCTCCTACCACCCGGGCAGGCCTGTGCTTCAAGATGGAAGTCAACCAGCTTTTCTCTGGGTCCTGCTGAAACCGTTGAGCTGCTCCAGGCCTGTTGAGGCACAGACGACATCCCTTGCGGGCGCTGCTGTCAGATGTAGGGCACAGGTCTGCTTGTCCCCTGAGGTCCGAGCTGCTGACAGCTGGGACTCCGTGTGTACCAGGGGGACCTGGGCCGTGGAGCACCCCAGCGTGGAGCCTGGACAGACTCCAAGGGGGGCAGGGTGCTGTGACCACCGGGTGAGGCGGTGGGCCTCTGGAAACAACACAGCTCCACTCCATCTTTGGTAGGAGGCCTGGGCGCCTGCGTGCCCGTGTACGGGATTGTTTGCTTTATGAAGCTTTCATGTTGATGCAAACGTTTTATCTTTAGCATTTAATCTCCAGACTATAGCCATTGGGCTGGGCGAACGTCATTAACAGGGTATGTCAGACTGTGTGGTGGAGCATCTGCCTAACTGGACCTAACTGGGGCTCTGCTTTCTCTCTCTCTCTCTCTCTCTTTCTCTCTCTCTCTCTCTCTCACAGATACATGTCACAGAGCAAGCACACAGAGGCGCGGGAACTCATGTGCTCAGGGGCACTGCTCTTCTTCAGCCACGGCCAAGTACGCAGGGGCCTTGTCCCCTTCCCTGCTTGGGGCCTGCGGGTTGGAAAAGGACCGTCCAGGGAGAGGCCTTGTTGGCACTGGCCACAGCTGGGCGAGTGTCCACTGAGAGAGCTGGGTGCTGCACGTGCAGCTGGGGTCTTGGTCCTTCAGGCTGCACTGCCGAGTGAGCGCTGGGCTCAGAGTAGTGTCCTTAGCTTCGGTCCACCATGCGTTGTTAGCTGGAAACCAGAGTGGCCGTCCAGCTTTGGCTTCTGAGAACAAGCCAGAGCTGTTTTTGTGATTTTTACTCACTTCCATGTTTTATAGCAAAACAGTGCTGCGGACTTGTCCATGCTGGTCTTAGAGTCGCTGGAGAAGGCAGAAGTCGAGGTGGCCGATGAGCTGCTGGGTGAGGCTTTATTACTGTGCATGAGGTACCTTCGCATGTGGAATATGACACCCCTGTGCACTCTCTGTGGCGGACGGTGGCCTCTGGTTTGTCCGGGAGACCTGGCTTGCCAGCCTGCCCCATGTGGTAAATGTGCAATGGGGGAAGTCCTTCTTAGGAGCTGCCCAGCCAGAGGGATGGAGGAGGGGCCTGCTTCCCGCCTCTGCACCCCAGCATGTTACCTACCTGCCCAGGTCTTGCTCCTCTGCGGGCCAGCTCCCTGCTAGGGCGCACCCTCCCACCCAGCTCCCCGACACAGGCTGAGCCATGAGGCCACAAAAGATCATATGGCTGCTGGCTCTGCAGCTGAGAGGTCGGTTGGGGGGGTCCTGGGACCTGGGGGTGGGAGGGTGTGTGATAAGGACACCCCAGCATGCCAATTCCCAGGTTTTGAAGTGAAGTAATTGTTTTGGTGAACGTCTATAAGAGAGAGCATCCAGAGAGCTGAGCAGCAGCGTGTTTCTTTGGGTAAGAGTTTGTGTTTGTGTTGTTTTAGAAAATCTGGCCAAACTGTTCAGTTTGATGGACCCAAATTCTCCAGAACGAGTGGCTTTTGTGTCTCGAGCCCTGAAGTGGTCCAGTGGAGGATCTGGGAAACTGGGCCACCCCCGGCTCCACCAGCTGCTGGCCCTCACGCTGTGGAAAGGTAGGCTGGGGGCACCTGTGCAGACAGCACCTCTCAGGGGCGGGTGCTAGCCGTCCCAGGAACAGCTGTTCCTTTTTATGCCCCACGTGGCTTTTATTTGTGTTAGCCACTTTAATCAGGTGAACTCATGGGCCACAGGAAGTAAGGAGCGGAGATTTTGCTCTCCACCGGCCTGGCCCTTCCTGCCTGTGGGCCTTCACCGTACCCCCACCAGCCTCCTTTCTGGGACATCCTCCGCAGACCAGCCCTCTGATGGCACCCTGCTCTGTGTTTTATTCACATTTATCTCAGCTTCTGAATAAGCATTTGTGGGGGCTGTTCAGTCCACGAAGGGGGGATCCTGGCAGTTCCTGGGTATGGTTCCCATCCTGAGCTCTGAGTCTGCTCTCAGGCACAGGAAAAGGCATTTGGTTGGGTGCCCTGAACAGCATTTGTCCAGGAGAATTTGGAGAGCTGTCTCCTATGTGGTGAGCACCTTGCAGGCGGCTCATTCACAGTGCATCAGCCTTCGTGGGGGGTCCAACCGTACGCTGGGCAGGGGGTAGGTGAAGGGATGGTAATGGTGGGCAGGTACCTTGGTGGGAGCAGAGGGGCAGCCTTCTTCACTTGGGGGCAACCTTCCACCAGAATGTCTGTGACAGCTCCTCCTGGAAACAGCCTGCTCGCAGCAAGTGGCACAGTGGTCGGACAGGTCTGTCTCCTCCACAGTCAGTGGGCTCAGGGCACGTTCCTGCTTGTGGTGGGCACCCGCCATGAACCCAGCCCTTGTTCATGCTGGGAAGCCAGCCGTGTGAGCATCTGTGGGCAGCGGTGCTCACTCCCCTGTGTGTCCCCACCCGCTGTGACCCACGAGGCGGGAGGTTTCTCCATCCCCTGCATGCTGGCATGCCAGCCCTACCCTCACCCCGGAGGGACATGACGAGAAAACGGTCAGATGTCAATTCAAAGGTCGGACAGTCAAGGAAATGCTCCTTGGAGGGTGCAGTGGAACCCCTCCCCCACCCCTACCCAAGAAGCACGTGGGGCCTGAAAACGAGCAGCTGATGCCTCGAGGCCGTGGCCGTCGCCATCGTGGGCTCCCTCTTCTGGCGCACGTTCCCTGTGGGTGCCTTGCTCCTCCGGACTTGGCCTCAGCCTGCCACCCTGGCCTGCCCAACTAGCATGGTCCCCGTGTATTTTCTGTCTGTCCCGCCGCAGGACACTGGTGTGTCTTGTTCACTGACCTCGGTGGGAGGCCATCTGTGCTCGCCAGGCTGGCGGGGGTGCCCTGGACTCCCGCCTTGTCTTCAGGGGCGCTGAGTCTGCACGTGCAGGGGGATGGCGGCGCCTGTGGCAAACCTCTGTTGTCAGCGAGCATTGATTTGGCACCATTATGCCCAGTCTGTGTGTGTGGGGCGTGTGGGGAGACGCCAGGAAGAAAATGGGGCATGACCCTGTGTCTGTGGCTAAGAAGCAGAAAACGCTTCAAGAGTCCCTCATAGCCCTCGCTGGTTAAGAGCCAGCTGTAAGGCATGGATGTTTAATGGGACGATTTTAAAATTCAAGAGACCGCAGTTACACACAGTGCTTGAGGCACAAACCCCAAGTGAGAGAAGTGCAGATTCCACGTCCTGTCCTGCTCCACGGTGTCCACGGTGTCTGGAGGCTGTGCTTAGGGATGTCTGCTGAGCTGTGGTACCTGGGGGCAGGCCCAGGTTGCGGGACCTCCAGGGAGGTGTGTCCCCCGATGGGGGCGGAGCCACCTGCCGCCATGTTGGTTTGCGATCTGCGGCTCGCCTCCTCTTGGCATGTTGGCTGTGTGTGGCGTTCTGTTACTCAGGCGTCCCTCTGTTGCGCACGTTTTACAAAGTCAGGGCTTGTGGCGGCCCTGCCTTGAGCAAAAGCTTGCTCGTGCCACGTTTCCAACCGCACTTGCTCACTTGGTGTCTCCATGTCACAGTCATTCTAGCAACAGCACAGGCTTTTTCATTATAACTTGTTACAGTGATCTGTGACCGTAGTCTCTGATATTGTCCTGGTTTTGGGGCGCCCTGAACTGCGTTCATGGAAGAGGGTGAATTTCGCCGATAAATGTGTGTGTGCTGACTGCTCTACCAACCAGCCGGTCCCACGTCTCTCCCCTTCTTCCAGCCTCCCTGTTTCCTGAGACCCAACAATATTGAAATTGGGCCAGTTCATGACCCTACAGTGGCCTCTCTGTCCGAGTGAAAGGAAGAGTCCCACATCTCTCATTTTAAATAACAAACCACAGATGATTAAGCTCAGTGAGGATGGCTTGTCCAAAGCTGAGGTAGGCTAAAAGCCAGGCCTCTTGTACCAAACAGCAAGTAGTGAATGCAAAGCACTGGCTCCTGAAGGACGTGACAAGGGTTAGTCCAGTGACACGTGAATGATGGGAAAGCGAAACAGCCTTATTGCTGATATGGAGACAGTTTGAGTGGTCAGGATAGAAGATCGGCCACAAAATTCCTTTAAGGCAAAGCCTGATCCAGAGCGAGGCCTTGACTCTCCTCAGTTCCATGAAGGCTGAGAGGTGAGGAGGCTGCAGAACAGGGGTTTGAAGCTAGTAGAGGCTGGTTCGTGAGGTTTTAGGAAAGAAGTATTCTCCATAAACTAAAAGTGCGTGGTGACCGAGAAGCTGCAGCAAGTGACCTTGAAGATCTAGCTGATAGCATTACTGCAGGGGGCTGCACTCGACAGATTTTCAGTGACGATGGAACAGCCTGATAGAAGATGCTGTCTAGGGCTTTCAGGACTTATGTACCTAGAGAGAAGTCAACGCCTGGCTTCAAAGGACAAGCTGATTCTCTTGTTAGGGACTAATATAGCTGGTAACGTTAAGTTGAAGCCAATGCTCATTTACCATTCTGAAAATCTCAGGGCCCATAAGAATTAGGCTAAATCTACTCTGCCTGTCCTGTATAAACGTAACAACAAAGCCTGGATGACAGTGAATCTATTTACAACATGGTTTACTGAACAATAAGCCCGCTGTCGAGACCTACTCAGAAAAAAGATTCCTTTCAAAATAGTACTGCTTGCTGACAATGCACCTGGTCACCCAAGAGCTCTGCTGGAGATGGGCTGCGAGATAAATGTTGTTTTCATGCCTGACACAACATCCATTCTGCAGCCCAAGGATCAAGGAGTCATTTCAACCTTCAGGTCTTATTCTTTAACAAATATATTCCATAAGGCTATCGCCGCCATAGATAGTGATTCCTCTGATGGTTCTGGGAAAAGTCCATTGAAAACTTTCTAGAAAGGATTCATCATGCTAGATGTCACTGAGAACATCCATAATTTATAGGAAGAGATCAAAATATCAGTAGTGACAGCAGTTTGATAGACGTTGATTCCAACCCTCATGGACGAGTTTGAGGGGTTCAAGACTCCGTGGAGGAAGTCACTGCAGATGTGGTGGAAACGGCAAGAGAACTAGAATCAGCAGTGGAGCCTGAACGTGGGACCGAACTGCCGCCATCTCACACCTGAACGGACGAGGATCTGCGTCTTATGGAGGAGCAAATAAACTGGTTTCTTGAGATGGGATCCACTCCTGGTGAAGATGCTGTGACGACTGTTGAAGTGACCACAAAGAATTCAGAGGATCATACGAGCTGAGCTGATAAAGCAGCAGCTGGGTGTCAGACGACTGACTCCCAGGCTGAAAGAAGTTCTCCTGTGGGTAGAATGCTGTCCAGCAGCATCCCACACTACAGAGAAATCCCTCATGAAAGGAAGAGTCCATCAGGGCCGCAAACATCAGTGCTGTCTGATTTTAAGAACTTGGCACGGCCACCCCAGCCTTCAGCAGCCACCACCCTGATCAGTGAGCAGCCATCAACGACGAGGCAAGACCCTCCACCAGCAAAAAAGACTATGACTCCCTGAAAGCTCAGGTGATGTTAGCACTCCTTAGCCGTCAGGCATTTCTTAAGGCGTTTCTGGGCATAATGCTACCGCACACTTAACAGACTCCAGTGTAGCTTAAACAGTTTCTGTGTGTAGTGGGAAACCAGAAAGTTTGATTTGCTTTGTCGAAGAACTTGCTTTGTTGTGCTGGTCTGGAACCGGGCCCACAGCATGCCCGAGCTGCTCCAGGGTGGGTTCCAGTCCAGTTCTTGGAGGGAGCCTTGTGCTGGGCCAGAGCACGTGGGTGTCGTTTTGCCCAATTTCCCTTCTCATAGGATGCTCTAAAACCAAAAGGTTATTCTAGGGGGTCTGAGGGAGAGAGGAGAGGCAGCACAGATGCACAAAGAAATGCTGACTCCAAATTGTTCTGCGTTCCTGAAGGCGGCATGCAGGGCCCTGAGAGCTGGTGTTCCCGGTAGAAGGTGGCAGGCAGCAGGGGCCTGGGGCCGGAGCCCTGGAAAGGCGTGGGAACCAGGTAGCTTGTGAGCAGGACAGGGGCGTGATCCCGTCTGCTCCAGGAGATGGGCCAGGGTGTGGGGAGGTAGTCTGGGAGGTGGCTCGGCCTGGGCTGGGTCTCTGCCTCGGCACAGCTGCCACCCTGGGCGTCCTGTGCTCTGTCGGATACGGAGCACACCCACTTAGCTGTGGCAGCCGGAAAAGGAGGGGCTGGGGTGTTGAGTCCTCATTGTGGAGGGGGAGGGGGAGCAGGTAGATTTTTCAGTGATGAGTGGGGAGAGTAGGTTTACAGCCTGAGTCACTTACTGATGTTGAGAAGATTGGGATTTTGGTCATTTTTTAAAAAAACAAATGCTTAAAAACACCTGAGTGTTGGAGCAGACAGGCACTCTGGTGCTATTAGCCTGAAAGCTTCCTGCGTCGCTGAACTTGACGCGGTGGTGGAGCCCTGTGTGCGGGTAGGAGGGTGGGGGCAGGGACGGCGCACTGACACGTGCATATTCATCAGTGTCCTCCTTCCCTTTGTAGAGCAGAACTATTGTGAGTCCCGGTACCACTTCCTGCACTCTGCGGATGGCGAAGGCTGCGCCCACATGCTGGTGGAGTACTCGACCTCCAGGGGCTTCCGCAGCGAGGTGGACATGTTCGTGGCCCAGGCTGTGCTACAGTAGGTACCCACGTTCACTCAGTCCCATCTGTGCTGCATGGCTGTCCGGGTCCGTCCCTCGTCCCCTGGCCTTGTCACCCTGTGACCCTGCTGCAGACCTCTCGGCATGGGACATGCTGTCCCTTTCAGCTCTCCCAGGCGGCTGCGGAAGTGAGTGTCCGGAATTAGTGTTCTGCTGTGACTCCCCAGTGTCTGTTTTCTCATGGCACCTCTTAGAGGTTTTTGGCTTTCTTAGCGTCAGGCCACTATTTTTTATAGGACGTGCATATTTAATAAATTTTACGAGGTGTCTTGGAATGGGGACTGCGCATGCTTTTGAAGCTTTTCCAAGGCTGCGCCTGGCTTCCTGGACGTCTAGAGCGTCCGTCCCCACTCTATCAGGCCTCCTCGTTTCCTCTCCCTGTCCCTGCCCGCAGCAGGCCTGGGTGGTGCTGGCACGCACAGCACGCGGGAGGGGTCTGTGGCCCGAGCTCCGGGCGTCTCCCGCGTGTGCTCCTCCCGCAGACACATACCAGTTTGGTGGCCGGGCATCGGAATAGGAAATGTCTTAGGAATTTGAAGGGGTTGGGGTCACAGAACGCTCACTGTATGCACTCGACAGCACCTCAGAGCTTCCGCGCTCTGCTGCACAGCGGCGCGTTGCTGGCATCTGCAATTCAGAAACAGACGTTTCTTAGACCCCAGCGCTCCCTGCCCCGGGCTGTGGGGTGTATGGTGCACAGAGTCCCTGGACCGGACGGGATCATGTGCAACCACCAGGCGCCTTCCCATCGGTCCCTTCCTATAGCTTAACAAGGTGGAGGCCCCCAATGCAGATGGTCCAGCTGTGGAGAAGTCCCCCTGGGGCAGAAAACAGAGCCTGTTCCCCGCCCGGCACAGCACCTGGGGCCTGCGGCCTCGTTCCCACGGACCCCTGGGCTCACTGCTCACGTAGGCAGGGGCCTGACAGGTGCAAACAGGCTGTAGTCCCGACAACTCCCTGCAGCGTCTGAGCTCTGCTGCCCTTGGACACTGTCACCTTCCGAAGCTTCATCTCTTCACCTGTCAACTGTGGCAGTCAGGAGGTGCCCTGCTCACGGGGGGCAGCTTGTCTGAGCACCGAGCCTGGCCCGGCGGGTCCTCGGTTTGCCGGAGCTGTGGGACGGTGCAGGCGCGCGGCCCAGAGGCTGTTGGACGGCTTTCTGTGCCCCTGGAGGCGTCCCGCATGCCGTGTTCACCTGAGCACCTGTAGAATGCCGCTGCGTTCTGCATCAGTCACCCACTTACTAGGGTGTTGCTTCCAGGTTTCTTTGTTTAAAAAACAAAAGCAGCGCATCGGTGGTGTTCACAACGTACACACAGAAGCACCCGTCCATCGAGAATGGCCCTCCGTTCGTCCAGCCTCTGCTCAACTTCATCTGGTTTCTGCTGTTGGCTGTAGACGGGTGAGTCTCCCATGTGTTTCGGGGGGTGTGCACATGTGCTTTTCTTGTTCGGCTCTCCGTGATTTTCACGTGGAGACAGAGCTGGGCCCCGCTGTCCTCCTGTTTCAGAGGCAAACTGACCGTGTTCACGGTGTTGTGTGAGCAGTATCAGCCGTCCCTGCGGCGGGACCCGATGTACAACGAGGTGAGAGGCGGGCGGCTGGAAGCAAGACAAGTCCTCCGTCCCCAGGCGGCCCCAGGGGGGCATGGGGGCTCTTGCGCGTGGGGCGTGTTCTGGCCACACGGTGACCCCGTGCCCCTCCTCTTCCAGTACCTCGACAGGATAGGACAGCTCTTCTTCGGCGTGCCGCCCAAGCAGACTTCTTCCTACGGGGGCTTGCTCGGTAAGGCCGGGGCGGGGGGCGCCTGCGGGGTGGGGGCGGAGCCGGCGTGGCCGCCTCACGCCCTGGCCTCCCCGGGGCGCTGTCTCCACGGCACTGCCCGGCGTGCGGTGGCGCTCTCCCGAGGCTCCGTGTCTCTGGCGGCCTAGAGGTCCTTCTCCAGCAGATTCCCAAACACGCCTGAGAGGGTCCTGTTGGCCCTCAGGCTTCCCTCTCCTTTGGCCATAGGATCAAGGTGGATTTCTTCTTTTTTTATTCTGGTAAAATACACATATCCCAAAACTTGCTTTTTAACCATTTCTTAGCATCCAGTTCAGGGGCACCGTCCCCCCGTCTGGCTCCAGAACGTTCCATCCCGCACAGTGAGACCCTGTCCCCGTGACGCACAGACCGCCCCCCCTCCCCCCAGCCCCGGCCCCGCCGTCTGCCCTCTGTGACCGTGAGTCTGAGACTCCGGGACCTTGTGGGAGCGGGGACCCCATGCGTGTCCTTCCGTGTCTGGCTCGTCCCCGTGGGGGCAGGGGTGGTTCCTTCCTTCAGAAGGCCGGCTCATACCCCGCAGTGTGGATGGACCACACTGTGTTCGTCCGTTCCTCTGTGGTGCACCCCATAATGCTGCTGTAAATGTGGGGCTGCGTGCATCTGCTTGAGCCCCTGCATCCAGTGCTTTGGGTAATATACCCTGAGGTGGGATTGCTGGGTCACGTCGAAATTCGGTTTAACTTGTGAGATGCTGCCAGACTGCCTCCCACAGCAGCAGCCCCGTTTCCCATCCTGCCAGCCGTGTACAGGGCTCCAGTTTCTCCGTGTCCTCGCCCACGTTTGCTGTTGTCTGTGCCTCAGTAGTGGGTGTGAGGGTCTCACCGTGGCTCTGATTCACATCGCCCTGACGGTTAGTGATGTTGAGCATCTTTTCTTGTGCTTATTGGTCATTTGTATGTCTCTGTGTCCATTCAAGTCATGTGCCTATTTTTGAACCAGGTTGGTGATTTCTCTATACTGGATACTAATACCTTATCAGATATAAAATTTCTGAACATTTTTCCCATCCTGTGGATTGCCTCTTTTTTTTTTTTTTTTTTAAAGACTATTTTTTAAAAGTTTCAGTGGGGCATTTGAGTGGTACAGTTGGTTGAGCATCCAACTCTTGGTTTCGGCTCAGGTCATGATCTCAGGGTCCTGACATGGAACTCCGTGTTGGGCTCCACACTCAGCATGGAGTCTGCTTGGGATTCTCTGCCTCTCCCGCTGCTCATGTGCACTCTAAAATAAATGAATTTTTTAAAAAAGGTAAATAAAAGGAGTTTTAGCTTCACAGCAAGATAAAGAGGAAGGTATGGAGAATATCCGTTTCCGTCCGTGCCCCCTCACAGCTGTTACCGGCGCCCCCATCAGAGTGGTGACTTTGTTAGAATTGATGACCTTACGTGGACACGTGAAGTTCATGGTTTACGTTGGGGTTACTTTTGATGTTGTACATGTATAGGTCTAGACACACATGTCCACCATTAGAGAGTCCTACAGAGTGGTTTCTGCCCTGACACACTCCACTGCCTTTTCTCTCTGTAGGTACTGCCTTCTGATGCATGGAATTTTAAATTTTCATGAAGTCCAGTTTATCTGTTTCTCCTCCACTGCTCATGCCTTTGGTGTCCCATCCATAATGTCCTTGTCTGGCCCAGTGTGGTGAAGCTTTTGCCCCATGTGGTCTTCTAAGAGTTCTACTGTTTTCAGGTTTACATTGAGGTCCTTGATCCATTTAGAGGGTTTTGTTACATGGTGTGAGGTGTAGGGGTCCAGCGTCCTTCTTTTCGAGGACATCCAGTGTCCTGGCATCATTGGCTGAAGAGACTGTCCTTCCCCCTGAGTGGTCTTGAAGCCCTTGTCAGAGATGGTTTGACCCCTCTGCATGGGGGCTTATTTCTGGTCTCTCTGTTCTGTTCAGTGGGTCTCTGTGTCTGTGTGCCCACACCACACTGCTGTGCTCACTCTGGAGTAAGTTTTGAAATCAGGAAATGCGATCCCTCCAGTTTTGTTCTTTTTCAAGATCGTTTCGGCTGTTTGGGTCCATTGCAATTCCATATACATTTTAGGATGAGCTTTTCTTTTCTTGCAAACAAGAGATTGGGTTTTGACAGGGACTGCATTGAATTTGTGGATGGCTGTGGGTGACACTGGTCTTTGCAGCGTGTCAAGTCCTCCAGTCCACAGACTTGGGAAGCACTTGCATTTATTTATGACTTTAATCTCTTTTCCTGGTGGTCTGTGGTTTTCATTCGTGAGTCCTTCATCTCCCTGGTTAAGGTTAGTGCCTAAGTATTTCATTCTTTTTGATGTTGTTGTAAGTGGAATGTTTTTATGATTTCTTTTTCAGATTGTTCATTGCTGGCGTAAAGAAATGCAACTGATTTTCATGTGCTGACTTTGTATCCCATTATTTTGCTGAATTCATTTACTCTAACAACTTTTTTGTGGAGTTTGTAGGGTTTTCTGCATATAAGATATGCAAACAGATCATTTTGCTCCCTCCTTTCCACCATAGATGCCTCTTCCCTCGTCCTCGTGCCTGGTTGCTACGGCCGGGGCTGCCAGTACCGTGTGGACTGGAGGTGGTGAGGGCAGGCACCCTCCCCTTGCTCCTGCTCCTCGAGGAGGAGTTGGCAGTCTTCCACCACCGAAGATTACAGTTGCCATGGGGTTTTCAGAGATGGCGGGTACTGTTGTGGGGTGGGGGGCAGTCCCTCCTGTTCCTGGCTTATTGAGTGCTTTTACGAGAGCGTCGCGTTTGGTCAAGTGCTGTTCCTGCAGCAGTTGAGATAGACGATCGTGTGGGCTTCGCCTCGTTCTGCTGACGCAGTGCGTCACACTGGCGGGTTCTCACGGGGAGCCCTCTGTGCTTTCCACGAATAAAGCCGCTTGGTGGTGGTGCGTTGTCCTTAATGTGCTGCCGAGTCCAAATGTTTCCCAGTGGTCTGTTGAGGGTATTGGCCTCCATGTTCACAAGGGATACTGGTCTGTGATCTTCTCGTAGTATCTCTGGGGTTCTTCTGGCCGTGTCGGATGAGTTAGGAAGCGCTCCCTCCCCCTCAATTCTTTTGGAAAAGTTTGGGAAGGATTGGTGTTGGTTATTAAGTGTTGAGTAGCATTCACCAGTAAAACTGTCAGGGCCAGGGCCGTTCTTTGTTGGGAATTTTTGATGATGGATTTGGTCTCCTTACTTGTTACTGGTCTGTTCAGATGGTCCATTTCTTCATGGTTTAGTCTTGGTGGGTGTTGGAGGCCAGGCCTCCGCCCCTCATCTGCCTAGCCTGGCAACATGGTGTGGCCTTCCCCGCGGTCTCGTATGGACTTTTTCCCTCTGCCAGCCAACGGCCAGTTTAGTCATTCATCTGAACATGGATTTTGTGAGCCTGAATATGATGGGATTTTTGAGTAGATCCTGTTTTCACAGAGTTCATCGTTCACCCACTCGTACTTAAACCGGTCTTGCCGTTGAGAGGTCTCATGCGGCCAGGCAGCATTGAGGCTCCCTTCCTCAGCTTCCTTCTGGAAATGACGTTGCAGAATCACAGATGGCTGATCTGTGTAAGGGATACATGTCCCCCACACTGATTGCACTGTGTTCCTGCCGGAGCTGAGGTGGCTCCCAGGTGACAGGTTCAGGTGGGGGCTTGTCCCACAAAGCTTGGTGATGCTGCTCCCGCCCTACTGCCCAAATCCAGGTGGGCACCCTGCCTTGTGGGCCCTGCAGGGTTGGCCTGGCTGGGCATTTGCGTCCTTTGAGCCATACCACGCTCTGTGGAGAGGTCTTTTGTCTGAGATGATTTTGAAAGTTGTTATACACAGTTGGACTTTCTACTTGTAAACTGTGTCTGGATTTGTCTCGTGGAAGGAACTCCTGCCATATCCGGGCCTGGGTGGGGCTGCGTGCATCTGAAGCCGAGGTGGTATTTGTGTGAATTGGCGTCTCTCGGGCGTGACGCCCCACCCTCAAGCCTCGCCATGGGTGTCCTGACGCTTGGTGCCTATTCATTTCCCACCAGAACTTCAGACTTGCCCCTTCTGGCACCCGGGCTTCTGGTGGCCTGTTCATTGGACCTGATTTTGCATGCCCGAGTCTGTCCAGACAACATTGTTCACATTTCCATTCATTTTTTTTCATAGTGGTTTGGCCTCAGGGGACTTTCTCATCTCCTGAGTTTGTATTGAATCATTGTTTTTTGAATAAAAGTGTCAGTGGTGGCAGCCTGGGGGGGACAGTGGTCACCATTTCTGCATGTGAACGCGTCCTGACCTCTTTGTGATGTACACGTGTGATGTACACCCGCGTGCCCGCTCGACGGTGACCTCCCCGTGACGTGGTTCTGCTGACGATTCCCCAGGGCTGTCAGACTGCCGTGCTCCGTCCCCCAGACGGGCCCTCGGGGTCTTTCCCCAGCTGCCAGGGCCTTGCAGGCACACTGAGTCTTCCCAGAGACTCGGCAGGGGGGCCCCGGAACACGGCACCACGGAAGGTGGGGTTCCCCAGGCAGGGGGTGCTGAGTGCAGCCGCCGTGCCCCTGACGGCCCCTGCGTTTGCTTCCAGGGAACCTTCTGAGCAGCCTCATGGGCGCCTCGGAGCAGGAGGGTGAGGACAGTCAGGACGACAGCAGCCCCATTGAGCTCGACTGACCCCGCCCGCCTGGCCTGCATGAAGACGCCCTGACCCCGGGCCCTCACACCCGGGGCTCCCGTTGTGAGGCGATGGCGGCCGCGCGGGCGCCCATGAGCTGGCCCGGGGCTGCGCGGCCTGCTGCGGCTGGGCTGGCTGGGCTGCACCTGCACCTTCAGACTGACCCACAATAAAGCACAGGCCTTGCCGCGCTACCACCCTTTCCCTGTCCTTTGTGTCTGGTTTGCTTTGGGAGGCGACCCGGTGTGCGGCGCAGGCCCGCAGGCCCAATCCCGTCGAAGATGGCGTAGGGGGCGGCTGCCGGTGGCCCGGAGAGCATCTGGGCGGCCGCTCTGGGGCACACCCTGAGGCCACGGTCATTTGGGATCAGGAGTCCTTTCCACGTTTCGTAATGCAGTATTTATTTTCATTGGGTGATTGGTTCCTTTGACCTGGCATTGTAGGTTTTAACCAAATAACCAGGAGTGAGCAGATTTGCCCTCTCTCCCTGACGCTATACCAGATGTTCCCAGAGCAATGACGAGAGGGGAAACACTTTATTTTTTCACAAATAAGAGTTGTAGATTAATACACAGTGATCATGCATGGGAAGGAGTTGAGATACACACTTTTATTGACTGTAAAATGGAATTTAAAAGAAGGTTTGTGTTACTTGTTGAGTTGAAATAAATCCTTTATACTGGGCTTTGCAGCGCTCGTCCTTTCTGAGTGAGCTCCTAGGGCCGGCGGGCGGGGAGCGGTTGCCGAGACCAGTGGTGGCCAGGTCTGCGAGCTGTGCCCGCAGGGGCTGCTGTGGACGGCCATGAGCGGCCGGTGTCGGGAAGGTCTTGTGATTGGTGTGTAACTACGTGGTGGTTTCTTTAAATGTGAGAAACCAAATCCAGTGGGGTCCTGCCTTGGCACAGGTTCTGCGTGCAGGCCACGGGGTGGGGGAAGGAGAGCGCTGAGCGCCCCCACAAACTACCCACGGGGGCTCTCTGTGGAGGGTGGTGGTGGAGGGAGTCCTCACAAGGGGCAGGCCCCAAGCCTGCGATGGACCCCCAGCTTGTGCCGTGATGCTTGTTCTGAAACCACAAAATGCATCCAGCACAGTTCAGTGGGAGGGACGTCGGAGCAGGACGCGGGTTTTTATGTGGAATTTTGCCCCAAACTAAGTAGATGAGCACAGACCGCGCACACCTCCTGGCATCCCTCTGCACTCCCCTCGTGGTGGCAGCGTCTGTCTCGACCCTCAGCACATGGAGACCCCTCCCTCCCGGGTGGGAGACAGCTTTGCGGCCGTGTACCTGACCCCGCTTTCCCTGTGAGCGCTGCCACTTTTTTCATGCGGTTGTGAATGGCGCTGCCATTTTCCGGGAACGCTGCCTCCTGTTTGTAGCCGTGTGGGTCGTGGGTCGCCCATGTCTCCACGTGGGGTGGAGCACGGGGGAGGTGGACGGCGGCCCGAGGACGGGGACTACCAGTGGCCCACTGTGCGGAGGTGTGTGAGGTAAGCACCGTGACCACCCTTTGCAGGCCATGAGCTCCCGACCTTGTTGGAGAACTTCTCCCACCGATGGTAAGATGTTCTGTTGTTTCTTTTTAACGTGTTAAGTGTTTTGGGCACAGTGCCCTTGCGTCTGGTCAAGACGGGGCCTAGAAAACCAGTCCTGGAGAATGCATGGCTGGGGCTGCCCCCCACATGGGGAGGTTCCACCCAGGATGAGACACCCCCCCGCCCCGCCCACCTCTGGGGCTTGAGGTTCTTTGTCTAGAAGCGGGGAAGACCGCCAGCGATCACGGGTGGTGGCGGCTGGGGCGGAGGCACCTGCCTGGAGCGGGAGGGGGTTGGGGGCCCTGGGTGACCCTGTGACTGTCCTCACCCCCCGGCCCAGCTGTCTTGGGGACCAGAGCTGAGATGGGAGCGAGGGGGGCACACTCTCTTGCCCCTGCACCCCCATCCCAGCCTACACGGGTCTGAGCAGGTGAGCCCCAGGCTCAGGTGCAGAGGGGAGATGGGGTGGTGGGAGTCCGGCCCACAAGGGTAGGCAGAGGCCCTGGGGACCCCAAGCCCCCCTACCCCTACACAGGGGGCCACCTTAGGATAGGACATGAGGGTTGGCGTGACAGGACACCCTGCCTTGGGGACCCCCTCCTAGTCCTCTCAAGGGCTGCTCCAGGGCTGCCTTAGGGGATGACTGACAGGCTGAGGGGCCACCCAGTCACCCAGTAGGTACCTGCCACCTACACATGCTGCTTCTCTGTCCCCCCCGGCCCCCCACTGGGGGAGGCGGCTAGGTTGTAAGTACTGGCTGGCCAGCAGCGCGCTGGGTCCTGTGGGGGACACTGGGCTTCCATCTTCCCAGGGCCCAGTGACCACAAGGTCAGGCTGGTGGGGTGGGTCAGCAGCCAGTGCCCAGCAGACAGGAGCTGACCCTCCACCCTCCCTCCCAATCCAGGCATGCTGGGGCCCAGTGAGCTGCAGCTCCCCAGTGCCTCTGACCCCCCAGAGCCCTCACGCACATGCCAGGTCAGCTGCTTGAGGAGAACCCTGTCCCCCATGCTAGCACCCAGGACCCCATGACCGACACACAGCAGGTGCTCAATAAATATTTGTTGAGGGGGACTTGGAGGAGGAGCAGGATGGGGAGGGGAGGCATGCAGGCCACCCGCTGTCCCCATGGCCCAGCCTCCTGGTCAGGGGCAGGGTCCTGCTCAGGTGGGCAGGGGGCAGGGGGAGTTGGTGAGGGGCTGCTGGGCTGCCCTGAGCCAGGAGGCCGGGCCTAGGCCTCAGAGGAAGAGTGGTTCAGTGGCCGGGGGTGGGGGGGCATGGCAGGGGTCACATCAGTGGGTGGCAGCATGGTGGGGGTCAGGTCGGCCGGCCTGCAGTGAGGTTCCAGAGAAACAGGTCCTAGTGGCTAAAGCTCAGGCCCCACCTGGCCAAGTCCGGGGCTGCCACTTAGGGCTGGGGCCAGGAAGCCGGTTCCTTCATCTGCCGGGCCCCCCAGTCTGGCCGCTGCCTCCTCGATGGCCACTTCAGCGAGTCCAGTTCCCTCGGGCCTCCAGAACCGGCTCTCGTTAGGGTTTATGTTTGAAGTGGGCTTCCACTGGAAAAAGGACAGGCGTTTAGCCATGTCACAGCCACCCAGGAGGCGCTGGGCCCCCTCCCCTGCCACCCCTCCTGCACGCACCTGCGTACTCCTGGGGCAGCATGGGCCTGTCCACGACCTTCCGAAAAGCCTCTACCCAGGCCCGCTGCTCCGTCTCTGTCTCGCAGGCCAGCAGAAACCTACGCTCCGGCGTCACGATGGTGATGCCATGTGGCCAGTGGTGGCCCTGGGTGGACGGTGGGAGCCCGTCCAGCACCGTGTAGCCACTCTCCCTGCTGCCGATGAAGACTTCCCCACGAGCAAAGGCGTCCTGTGGGCAGAGGCCGGGCAGCCCCTAGGCAAGGGGGTGGCTCTGCTCATAGCCGGGGAAGCCCCGACCCCGGAGACCCAACCCGCCCTCCTGCTCCTCATTCCCACCGCCTGTGGCCGGCAGACGGGCCTGTGGCTCACCTCTGCGTTGTGGGGGAGGACACATCCGCCCCGCAAGGGCCCAGCCCACCTGGGCCGAGACCCTCCCTTACCAGGGGATCTTTGAAGTACATGAGCCTCCGGTCATCCATGGTGAACCAGCGCTTCCGGAAGCCTTCTGTTTGCTGTGGGTCAGAGAGGGCCAGGGTCCCGCTGGTCAGCCTGAGGCAGGGCACCCCCACATGCATTCGTTCATCCTTCACTCATTCGCGGCGCCTTCTGTGGGCAGCGCTGCATCCTGCTCTGTCCACCAGGTGGCTGCACCGAGGGCCTTTGCACGTGCTGTTCCTCCCCTCCCCATGTCCTACTCCTCGCCGGTCCTCCCTGGGGGCCCCGTCTGGGCTGTGGGGCTACCGTGTGTGTGCCTCCACGAGGCAGGGAAGGGGCTGAGCTGGCCCGAGTAGGGCCCCAGGAGGTGCACGGGGGGCCTGATTGGGGGGGGGGGGCAAAGACACGAAGCTGGCTCAGCCCAACCCTGGGTCCACAGGGCCCAAAGGTTTTGGGGTCCAGGGCCATCCAAGATGATCTGTTCAGAGTCCTCTCCCAGGGGTGCTACTGGCACTTTGACCCTCCACGGCCACCCCAGCCCCACCCAGCCCCAGGTAGCTGAGACGCTGATCTCGGAGGGGGGGCTTAGGCCAGCCGGTCAGACCCACCTTGGGCCCCGTTTTCTCCATGTAGCCTTCCTTCAGGTAGTTCCGGGAGAGCTTCGGCACCAGCTAGGGCAGAAGATGGGCTCAGGCCTGGGCCCTCCTGGTCTCTCTCCCCCACGCGCCCCCGGCCCCCTCCCCACTTGCTGCTGCCACTGAGCTGAAATGCCCCAGAATAAAGGAGAGGGGTACATGGGGGCCCTTGGCCAGTCCCCCAGCACCCCCAGCCGACACAAGCAGTCACCACTTACATCAGCGTCACTGGCCCCTGGGAATGCCACCTGCAGGTAGTGGAAGCGGGCGGCACGGAGCGCGTTGAACCAGTCCACGATCTCCTGTGGGTCAGAGGTATGTGAACACAGGCAGGAGGGTGGATGCAGGCCTGCTGGGGTACGGCCCTGAGGTGGCCTGGGAGGACAGGGACGGCTCCACACGGGGGACGGGCCGGGGGGCCAGGGAACAAGCCACGCTGTGGCCAGCCAGCTCAGGATGGGCAGGGGACAGGTGGGTGGGAGGCCCATGTTCAAGCCAGCCAGCCCCCAAGCCCTGATGCAGATTTGGGTGTGGGGAGGCTTTTCTTCTCTCAGATGGGGTTATTTTTACAAACCGAGTATGTTGCCCAGAGCGAGGCTCATCTATTTTTAAATCCACCCAGAGCTGCTGCCTCCCATCTTCAAGGGGAGGAGGAGAGCTGCTCTGCCTGAGCCAAACCCCCTCGCTGGACAGGGTGGACCTGCAGCGCCCCCTCCTGGCTGCTATGCCCCGCTACTCCCAAGATACCTGCCCACCGGCTGCTGGAATCTGCCCCAACCCTGGATGAGCCCAAGTATCTCCTTACCCTGCCGACACCTGGCCATTGCCAGCCACGGGGCACCTGCATGCCTGTTAGGGCTCCAGAGCCCACTCCTGCTGAAGGGGTCATCCCACAGCCACCTGCACCACAGCTAAAATTACTCCTCCTCCACCACGCCCACCTGCTGCATGCCCCAGCCCTGCCCCTGGGCCAGGCCCATGCTGCAGTGTCCACACCAATGCTCTGTATTCCCCACCTGCTGCACAGGGTTCCCAATTCAGCCTGTGACTTTACACTCTGGGCCCTGCCCACAACTCTCTTCACCCCTGGTGCACCCAACCCCATTCTAGTCATCAGTGAACTCTCCAGTCCCTCCCCCGGGGCGAGAAGGCATTGTCTCCTGCCTGCTTCCCAGCACTGGTCTCCCACCTCCCTCAGGACTCCCTCAGATCATTGAAACCATGGCAGCTGGACAGGTCAGTGGCGGTTCAAGTTGGGCCATGACATCTTCCAAGCAAAACACTGCACCTCTAATAACGATACAAGTCCACAGCATGGCCACAGGCCCTGCAGGGTCTGCCCAGCTCAAATGCCCTTCCTTTCCTACCTCAGCCTTGTCAGCTTCTCAAATCTATCCTGTTCCATCCGGCCACAGGGCCTTAGCACATGCCATCCCAGTACCTGTCTTCACCTTTGGGCTATGGTCCCCGCCCCCCCCCCCCATTATGCAGAGTCACTGTTCCTAGCCCTCAGTACAGGTAGGATTTTAGTCACTTCTCTGACTCATGCCCGTCTCTACTGGCAAATGGTGCAGTCACTAACTGAGGGCAGAGCCATGTCAAACAGGCTTACCGGTATCTAGGCACAGAGCCCAGCCCAGAGCAGGTACCCTAACCACAACCCTCTTTGAGGGAGGGGGGCCATTGGGGACTCATGCCAGCAGAGCATCATGCTACACATACAGAAGGGCCCTGGGCTCAGTCTCCCAAGGAAAATGAGGGTGGAGGCTTGTGGATAAAGCTGAAGATTGACCCATATGCCTTGAGCCATGACCCTCCTAAAACCTGTTAATACCACGTGCAATCTTACAAAACCAGATCAGGAAGAAACAGAAAATTTGAACACACTTATTACTAGTAACAAAATGGAATCTGTAACCAAAGAACAGAACACACAAAAGTCCAGGACCAGATGGCTTCACCAGTGAATTTTACCAAACGTTTAAAAAAGAGTTAATAGTTAAACTATTGCAAAAAAAAATAGAAGGAAAGCTTCCAGATTCATTCTATGAGGCCAGCATTATCCTGATAACAAACCAGACACACTATGAAAAAGAACTACAGGTCAATATTTCTGATGAACACAGATGCAAAAATCTTCAACAAAATACCAGCAAACCAAATCCAACAATACACTGAAAGGATCCTTCACCCCAAGCAAGTAGGTTTCTTCCAGGGATGCAAGGATGGCTCAACATTTGCAAACCAATCAACGGGACATGTCACATCAACAAAACATTTAAAAACCACACGATCATCTCAGTAGATGCAGAAAAAGCAAAGGAAAGCAATTGACAAAGTACAACATCTCTTCACGATAAAAACAAAGCGGGGTTAGATGGCACATATGTCGACATGATGAAGGCCTGATTATGTGACAAGTCTACAGCTGACTCGTGCAGTCGGGAAAAACCAGCACTTTTCCCCTAAGATCAGGATCAAGGATGAAATGAAAGAACAATAGTAACTTGAAGCTGTATGGAGAAATGATATCAGGAAAGATTTGTAACTACTTTTTATTATCAATGTGATATAAAAGACTAATATTTTGGGGGCGCCTGGGTGGCTCGCTTAAGTGTCTGCCTTCGGCTCAGGTCGTGATCCCAGGGTCCTGGGATCGAGCCCCATGTCGGGCTCCCTGCCGAACAAGGAGCATGCTTTTTCCTCTCCTCCCTGTTCATGCTGTCACTTTCTCTCTCAAATAAATCTTTTAAAAAATAAAAAGACTAATACTTTTAAAGAAAAATAATCAGGAATTAAAAGCTGCTATTACTGTAACTTGTTTGTAATTGCAAATCTTGTTTTATACCTACATTAGGAGACAGTGCATTTAAAAGAATGATTATGTTTTGAGGCACAGAACGTGTAAAGATGAAATACTGTGACATCGACAACCAAAAGGGTGTCGTACAGACAGCTGTGAAGGAACAGGGCTTCTGCACGTTACTGAAGTTAAACTACTACAAATTCGATTTAGAAGGTTATAAATTTAGGATGTTAAATGTAATCTCCATGGCAACCAGGAAGAAAAGAGCTATAGAATATACACAAAAGGAAATTAGGAGGGAATTTAAACGTTTCACATAACGCAGAAGACGACAGGAATGCAGGAAACGAGGGACAAAAAAAAGCTGTAGGCCACACACAACATAAAGGGCACAAGGGAGAAGGAAGTCCCTCCTTACCAGCATTCACATTACGGGTAAGGGGATGAACCTCCCCAGTCAACAGGCAGAGAATGGCAGGATGGACAGAAACACGCGGTACAACCACTGGCTGTCCACGAGAGATGCGGCCGAGATCTAAAGACACAGCGGGTCGGAAGTCAAAGGATGGGAAAGGCTACTGCGCGTGGACAGCCAGCGGGAGAGAGCCGGAGCGGTTTCACAAACATCAGACAGACTGACTAAGGAGAAGGCCACAGGGACGAAGGAGGACAGTCTGTGTGAGTAGAAGCCTCGATACAGCAAGTTCTAACAATTGCACGTACGCGCCTAATGACAGACATCAAAGTGTAGGAAGCCGAACCCGACAGAGCTGAAGGGGGACATCGCCAGCCTCGAATGACAGCTTGAGACCGTGACGCTGCACTCACACTGATGGACAGAGACTCCGGCAGGAGTAAGGGAACAGAGGACTTCACACAACCAACCAGATCCAACCAGGCAGCACCTGACCAGGACGGCACACGCATTCCTCCCTGGGGCCCACGGGGCGTCGTACTGTTGTACAGGATCGACCACACGTGAGGCCGCAGATAAGTCTAGATTGATTTTAAAAGGTAGATGTCATACAGAGTATCTTCTCTGGCCACAACAGGCTGGAGTTAGAAGTCAACACAAAGAAAACTGGGACATTCACAACATGGCGGAGATGTAACACGCTTTTAAACAACCAGTGGATCAAGGAAGAAATCACAAGGGAAGTTAGAAATGAAATGAAATTTGATGAAGGAAAACAAAACACGACACCAGAACACGGGATGTAGCAACGGTGGTGCTAACAGGGAAATCTGTAGCTATAAATGGTGACATTACAAAACAAGAAGGATGTCAAACCAACGACCGAACTTACAACTGAAGGAACTAGGCAAAGAAGAAACTAAACCCAAAGCTGGCAGAAGGGAGGAAATCATAAAGACTGGAGCAGAGATCAATGAAATAGAGAAAAGAAAACCAAGAGAGAAAATAAATGAAAGCAAAAGTTGCTTCTTCGAGAAGATCAATGAATCGGCATGCCTTGAGCTGGATGGTCTAAGAAACTGACTCAAGTCACTAAAATCAGACACAAAGTTGGGGATGCTGCTCCCAGAAATAAAAAGGTCTATGAGAGCGTGCTGTGAACAACCGTACACCAACAACAGGGTCACCTCGATGAAGTGGACAAATTCCTGGAAAGAGAAAGCCCACCAAGACTAAATCAGGAAGAAGTGGACCATCCGAATGGTCCTATAAACGAGTAAGGAGACCGAATCTGTCATCAGAAATTCCCAACAAAGAACAGCCCTGGCCCTGATGGCTTTACTGGTGAATGCTACTCAACACTTAATAACCAACACCAATCCTTCCCAAACTTTTCCAAAAGAATTGAGGGGGAGAGAGAGCACTTCCTAACTCATCCTGTGAGGTGTTCTATATTATACCCAGCATAACCTGGATACCAAAGCCAGACAAAAATACAAGACAACCACAGACCAATAGCCCTTGTGAACACTGATGTAAGAGTCCTCAACAAGATACTAACGAACTGAATTCAGCAGTATATTAAGGATTATACACCATGACAAAGTGAGATTTACTCCTAAAATGCAAGGGATTCTCAACATGAAAACTCATGAAGTTAATACACCACATTAATAGAATGAAGGAAAAACAAATCACATGATCACTTTAGTTGATGCATGAAATGTATCTGACAAAATTCATATGGAATATCTGGGAACCCAAGTCGCCAAATAATCCTTAAAAAGAATAAAACTGGAAGAATTGCACTTCTAATTTCAAAACTTATGATGAAGTCACGGTCCAAAGAGCATATGGCACTGGCAGAAAGACCGACCAGAAACTGGTCAAATTATTTGTTGAGAAAAGGTGTCAATACCATTTAATCGGGAAAGGACTTTTTCAACAGTGCTGGGGAAACTGGATATCCACGTAAAAAAGAATGAAGCTGGGGGCGCCCGGGTGGCTCAGTCGTTAAGCGTCTGCCTTCGGCTCAGGTCATGATCCCGGGGTCCTGGGATCGAGTCCCGCATCGGG